GATATGGCAGTTATTGATGATACCTGAGAATTTGGTGACCACGCCCCTTTTTGAAAAAAAGTTATTCAAAAATCATATTCATATTTAATCATAAAAAATATAAAAAAGATATTTCTTCTGAAAACAAAAGTTGTAGTAGTTAGATATGGCAGTTATTGATGATACCTGAGAATTTGGTGACCACGCCCCTTTTTGAAAAAAAGTTATTCAAAATCATATTCATATTTAATCAATAAAAATATAAAAAAGATATTTCTTCTGAAAACAAAAGTTGTAGTAGTTAGATATGGCAGTTATTGATGATACCTGAGAATTTGGTGACCACGCCCCTTTTTGAAAAAAAGTTATTCAAAAATCATATTCATATTTAATCATAAAAAATATAAAAAAGATATTTCTTCTGAAAACAAAAGTTGTAGTAGTTAGATATGGCAGTTATTGATGATACCTGAGAATTTGGTGACCACGCCCCTTTTTGAAAAAAAGTTATTCAAAAAATCATATTCATATTTAATCATAAAAATATAAAAAAGATATTTCTTCTGAAAACAAAAGTTGTAGTAGTTAGATATGGCAGTTATTGATGATACCTGAGAATTTGGTGACCACGCCCCTTTTGAAAAAAAGTTATTCAAAAATCATATTCATATTTAATCATAAAAAATATAAAAAAAAAGATATTTCTTCTGAAAACAAAAGTTGTAGTAGTTAGATATGGCAGTTATTGATGATACCTGAGAATTTGGTGACCACGCCCCTTTTTGAAAAAAAGTTATTCAAAAATCATATTCATCATATTTAATCATAAAAAATATAAAAAAGATATTTCTTCTGAAAACAAAAGTTGTAGTAGTTAGATATGGCAGTTATTGATGATACCTGAGAATTTGGTGACCACGCCCCTTTTTGAAAAAAAGTTATTCAAAAATCATATTCATATTAATCATAAAAAATATAAAAAAGATATTTCTTCTGAAAACAAAAGTTGTAGTAGTTAGATATGGCAGTTATTGATGATACCTGAGAATTTGGTGACCACGCCCCTTTTTGAAAAAAAGTTATTCAAAAATCATATTCATATTTAATCATAAAAAATATAAAAAAGATATTTCTGCTGAAAACAAAAGTTGTAGTAGTTAGATATGGCAGTTATTGATGATACCTGAGAATTTGGTGACCACGCCCCTTTTTGAAAAAAAGTTATTCAAGATTTGTAGTCATATTTCATCATATTTAATCATAAAAATATAAAAAAGATATTTCTTCTGAAAACAAAAGTTGTAGTAGTTAGATATGGCAGTTATTGATGATACCTGAGAATTTGGTGACCACGCCCCTTTTTGAAAAAAAGTTATTCAAAAATCATATTCATATTAATCATAAAAAATATAAAAAAGATATTTCTTCTGAAAACAAAAGTTGTAGTAGTTAGATATGGCAGTTATTGATGATACCTGAGAATTTGGTGACCACACCCCTTTTTGAAAAAAGGTTATTCAAAAATCATATTCATATTTAATCATAAAAAATATAAAAAAGATATTTCTGCTGAAAACAAAAGTTGTAGTAGTTAGATATGGCAGTTATTGATGATACCTGAGAATTTGGTGACCACGCCCCTTTTTGAAAAAAAGTTATTCAAGATTTGTAGTCATATTTCATCATATTTAATCATAAAAATATAAAAAAGATATTTCTTCTGAAAACAAAAGTTGTAGTAGTTAGATATGGCAGTTATTGATGATACCTGAGAATTTGGTGACCACGCCCCTTTTTGAAAAAAAGTTATTCAAAAATCATATTCATATTTAATCATAAAAAATATAAAAAAGATATTTCTGCTGAAAACAAAAGTTGTAGTAGTTAGATATGGCAGTTATTGATGATACCTGAGAATTTGGTGACCACGCCCCTTTTTGAAAAAAAGTTATTCAAGATTTGTAGTCATATTTCATCATATTTAATCATAAAAATATAAAAAAGATATTTCTGCTGAAAACAAAAGTTGTAGTAGTTAGATATTGTAGTTATTGATCATACCTGAGAATTTGGTGACCACGCCCCTTTTAGAAAAAAAGTTATTCAAGATTTGTAGTCATATTTCATCATAAAAAATATAAAAAAAGAGGCAAATGCTGAAAACAAAGGTTGTACAAGTTAGAAGTGTTAGTTATTTATTGTGTCCTAGAGTTCTGTGCGTGTACATGGCTTCAAGTAACAGCTATTGTTCGTTTACAAAGCTGGTATTGATACTTGTTGACGCTCCCTATGCGCTTTTCTCGGCACTTGGATTGAATGGATTTCTCTGCATTAAAACAGCGCATTGGATTTGAAAAATCGATGTTGTAGTAGTTAGCCTAAGTAGAGGTGATCATTTTGGCACCATTACTTTCGTTTAACAACGTTGCTTTCGTGAGATATTCATGGCGGAAGTCCGAATCTGTGAATATCAAGCTGACTTTACCGAACTCTGCGTGTTTGGGGTCAGAGGGTATGTGAGACCGTTGGAAAATCTTGCACACAGCGGATGAATAGGAAGTTCATTATTTTTTAACGCGTGCACTTTTCCTGCGGTGGTCCTTTCTGTGCAGTCATTCGAGCTGTGCCAAGAAGCTCATTATTAATGTAAACCTGAAACTGAGTCTCAATTTACCTGTTTCACGCATGGCACTTGTTTGGCCAACTTAACCCATTTGGGCCCAAGTTTATAATTGTCATTTTCTTCTCCCAGAATAAAAAATCAAAGGTATTAATGCATTTCCTCTAATATTCTAGTAAACAACTTAGAAAAAGTTATAGTAAAAAAAAAAAAAATGTTTCCTGGTGATTCCTGTCACGTGACATCATCAGCTTCCAGTCCTTTCCGAGGGAAAACATGGATGAAGCAAACCATCCCAAACCAAGCAAACCATCATATATTTTGAATAATTTTTCCCCCAAACATATAAATAATTGTTTAATCATTCAAGTCTCTAGAGTAACCCTCCCTCAAAACATTGTACCTGGGATTAATATTTTTTGAGTTATGGGCATGTTTCTGTGGGCACATATGATGTCACTAAAGGAAAGGAAAACTGCGCCTAGTATACCTAATAACAGTGCCTCATAATATAACTTATTTTAAATTGTAGAATGGTGTACAATGGCTAATTTTAAACCTCTTAGATCACTCTTCACATCTAAATAAAGTATTCACAGGTATTCAAAGGCTATGTCTGTAGGATTTTGATAGAGCTGTAACCCAGACCCTCCTCCAGCGTCATGGAGTAAGACACGGGTGTCCAAACTTTTTAGTAAGAGGGTCACTTTAGTCCATCAGACTTGACCTGTGGCCAATGACCTGGCTTTAAACATCTTTGGATTCAAGCTGGAATGACTGGATTCCGTCATTTAAAATGGGTTATGATACGTTCTTAATGATTCACACCACAGCTGCATTTTATGTGGAATGTTGTGACACAATCATAAAACAAATGTCAGTAAATAACAATAGAGTCAACGACTGGATTCCAGAGTGTCTGAGATTTACAACAAAATATAGCATGACTATTTTGGTGGAGCTGAAGTTGGTTGGATGACACTGTCAAAGTGCCTCAATGACGACTTTGTGTTAGCAGCAGAGGGCCACATAAAATGGCCCAGAGGGCCTTAATTGGCCCGGGGACCTGAGTTTGGACATGCCTGGAGTAAGACGAAGTGGGCATGGCTGATGCCAGCAGGTTTGACAACCTCAACCACTGGCCTGCAACAGCGGTACAAGTAGCAAGTACAAGTACAAGAATAAAGAAACCGTTCAAGTTGTTTGTTGTTTGGGATTTTATAAAGGCGGAATCCAGTTATAATATCCATTATGACCTGTTGACAAGCCATTTACCCACCGGCAACTATAGTTGCCAGCCCTAAAAACGCTATTTTGTTCAAGGCAAGGTCCAAAATTGAAAAAAAAAAAAATATATATCCTGATTCTAGGGGACACAACTGATAACGGTATATGTATTAACACTCAAAATGGTTTATCATCCTTTTGGTGTAGTTTGCGTGGGAAGTGGACATCGAGGTTAATTTAATGCTCCACTGCATGTGCCGTTAATGAGGTTTCCCAGATCAAATATAAATGGGGGAATGTTGTGCATCGATTATAATAAACCTAGTTTCATCAATTGGGGCTTTTCTTTTTTTCAAACGGTGCAACAGAAAATATATTTATCTGTAGTTGTGTTGTATCCTTAGTGTATTTTACTTATTCCAGGTGATATTTTCAACGCAGTTAAACAGCAACAGAGTTCAATTCAAACATGACTTATTGCAATATGTCTTGATGAGCAGGGAGGGACATTGGAGTTCCACTCAATCCAAAACTCTTAAAGGAACTCAAGGTTTGAGGCAGTATAAGCAGCACAACATAACATTCAGCTTTTAAAAAGGGCTTGGATGTAAACATACTAATAAAATAAAGATGATGAACAAAGCGTTGAAAATAAACACAATCCTAGTTTGTAGCCTAAAGGTTAAATCTGGGGTCCCTAACTTTATTTTTTCACATTAACAATAATGAAGCAAAATGATGCGAACAAATCAGACCAAACCTTCCCGTTTTCATGACGTGATTAGACAATTGTTTGTAAAAACAGTTATCTTTAGCATACTAGAGACATGTGAGTCACTATTTAACACTTTGGGCTGATTGGCTGAGTAAGGATGGCATTCTTTCTGTCTTAAAAAAACTGAACCAAAGATGTGATCAAAGCCAAAAAATACATTTGTCCAAAAACTAGTGATAGAACCAAATTGATTTGAGAGCTACAGACTAGATGGAATTTTATCATTTTGTGATTTGAAAGTAGGAAGTTTGTAACTCAGGCTTTGATTAATAATCGTTTGACATAATTGTTTAGCCAGGAGTGGGTTGTTGAGAGTATCACTCGTATAACAATGTCCACAATTGAAATGTGTTTTTTTCTGACCTAACTTAACCGGCAGCTTTCTCGTGTGTCCCTCAGGTGGACTGACTCTTTGGCTGGTTTTGTGGCTGGTTGTGGTGAAGCCGGGCAGGGTGACAGCATGCCCCAGGCACTGTGTATGTTACCCCTCGCCCATGACGGTCAGCTGCCAGTCCCAGAACCTCACCATAGTCCCATCAGACGTCCCCTACGACTCTCAACGTGTTTTCCTTCAAAACAATCGAATCACTGAACTTCGCTCGGACTCCTTTGGCTTTGATACACAGGTAAATGCTGACCAAAAATCAACACAATATATGATAACTTCTAAAGTATTGCTGCTGCTACAACAGAAATTCTAGATTGTATTGTATACCCCAGTGGGTCCAAAAAATCAGTCGATGATAGTTTGCAATAGTTTGCAATTTATGCATCTTCTGACTCTGCTTTTTCAAATGATTCCGAAATAACTTTTGCTTCCTTTGTGCAGGTGCTTTGGTTATACAGCAACAACATCTCATGGATTGAAGCTGGGGCCTTTAGTAACCTGCGGGTTCTGGAGGAGCTGGACCTGGGAGATAACCCCTCTCTGCGGCGTTTGGAGGGGGGGGCCTTCAGAGGACTGGAGAAGTTGCAGAGCCTGCACATGCACCGATGCAAGCTGGCCACTCTCCCCCCGGACCTCTTTCGCAAGCTGTATAGTCTCCAGTTCCTTTATCTACAGGTACGCGCATTATTAACTTTAAAAGCCCAAAGTAGACTCATAATTGTTTCAATTACACAATGCACTGTACCTTGGCCAAACATTTCTTTCAGAGAAATACATAATGCAGCCCTCCTGTTGGTAAAAATGGGGTTAGCCATTCATTTAACCTTAGCAACAGATATGCCATCACACTTTTTTAGCTCACATCAAAGTGGGAAATGGATAAGTAATGCAGATGATGAAAACATTAACATCTAAATGGAAAAATCATGATGTAACACAAATGTAGCTTAGATCTGGAGGTTTAGTCCTTCCGGGGTCTGTCACACTCCATCACAGTTGTTTTATTCTTCTTTTGAATACATGTATGCACTAACCTTGTTCAAAATAAATACAATTTGCTGTGTTCTATTTCCAGGAGAATCAACTCCACTTCCTTCAGGATGATCTGTTCTCAGACCTGGTGAATCTCACTCATCTCTTTCTGCATGGGAATCGCATTCGGGCTTTATCTGAAAATGTCTTCAGGGGCTTGGTGAACCTCGATCGCCTTCTCCTTCATGACAACCGCATCCGTCAGGTGCACCGGAAATCCTTCAGAGACCTGGGCCGCCTGACCATCTTGTACTTGTTCAATAACTCCCTGTCTGAGCTTCCAGGGCAGAGTATGAGGGATGTTCAGGGTATACAGTTCCTGCGTCTAAATGGGAACCCGTGGTCATGTGGCTGTGAGGCCCAGCCTTTGTGGGAGTGGTTTCGTACATCACGAATCTCTTCTTCTGAGGTTGTGTGCACTTCTCCCTCCCAGCGGCGTGGACAGGACCTCAGGTTCTTCCGAGAGCTTGACTTTGCATCCTGTCCTGTCCCTGATCCTGGCTCTATGGCAGGAACCACCACCACCACATTCAGCACTAAGACCCGCTGGTGGTTCCCCAAAAATAAACCTGCATCTTCATCCAAAACTCAGAAAAAATCTGAGACAGTGAAGGCCTTTAGTGGGCCCAAGTCTTCTTCTAAAACCTTATATGAATCTGTTCCAGTGAAGTATGAGATGTCAGAGGACGAGGCAGCGCTGCCTAAGCTCGACCCAGAGGAATACTGGGCAAATTACGGCAATGAAGACTCTTCTATTCGTTGCTTTGAGCTTGAGTGTCCACCAGGTTTTGAGAACTCAGTGTTGTATTCATCCTCTACTCTATATAGTGTCCCATTTCTTGTCCATCTTCTCTTTCTGTGTGTAGTGCCCATGTCTCTGCATTCAGTGTTTAGCTGAACAACTCTTCCCATTCTAAGGCATCACTGCTCTTTGCTCTCGTCTCAGTCACCTGTGAATGTTGATGATAAAAAGGGTCCATACACATTATATAGTGTGTAGGGCAGGATTGCGGTTTCTGCCGTTAAAACACAAAAGGCATTTTGAACTAGGATGACTGAAGCTAGAAGAGCAAAATGTTAGCCGCGATGAGTGGTATGTATTTGTGGAAGACATAAAACAATGCAGGCATTGTTGATATTTCATCATTTTAATAGAGATAAATACTATATTTTTAAAATAATGTATACAGTTTAATGTCAATATTTGTAAATACGGCTGCTTATGTGTACATGAGAGATTTCAGGAATTCATTAAGGTCCCATCTCCATCTTCATTGTTTTTTTTTCACTCTTTTTGTCAACTTGTTGCCTTTTATCAGCAAGAATCAACAATACCAAAGTGGAAAAGACTTCTTTATTTGTACTTTTTACCTTATTGCTGACGACTGGTGAGTGAGTGGATGAATAAGAAGACTCAGCGACAAATGGTGTTAGTTCTTTTTGTTTCTGTTTGTAAAGATCTGATGCAATTTTGCCTTCAATAGTTAGTTTTGTGATTCAGTGGCGTTGCCTGAAAGCTGGATCATGACTGTGATACTGTGATCTTGTCTTTGATTGAATAATAAAATAATGAAATAATGTCTGTCTTCTGTTGGAGTTTTTTTACAAATATAATACAAAACACTTATATAACATAAAAAATAAACTACTAATATGATCCATGTTTTCTCATTTGTCAGATGCACTCTGAGATAGAAATATAAAAGGAATCTGGAAATTACTAAATGATCTAATTTGGCATTAAGAGATAATTTGTTTGATGCATTTGTCATTATTTGGTCATGTCTTTTAATAATAAATACAACACTTTTAGAGGAATTGGGTCAAATAGCACAATACACAAAACTCAATAACTGAAACTGTGTGTTTGGCCTAATGCTAATTGAATCTCAAACATTTGTAGCATCAAAACAAATTAAAGCCGCAAGCAGTGTCAAACGGCCCTTGCCTTACCGTGCAAAGGAGGGGGCGCCGCCGCGCCATTTTGCTCCCGTAGCCATAGAACAATGTTTATATAATTGTAATGAATATGATCAGTTGGTTTGGCTCAGTCTGCAGGGCGGCGCTAAAGAGCCAATGTAATATTTCACACCTTCAGGTGAAGCCCAGGAGTAGAACAACCGATTCAAGTTTAGTACAAATCGGACTTTGTATGTGTAAACGGGAGCACAACTATAATCTGTGAGTGTGTCCTTACACAGTATATACATACTACATTGGATGACCTTATCAAAATTCTACAAACAAGAGATGATGAGAGGTGTCTTTTGCTATAGACACAGAATTGAGAGTGTTTGACGTCACCACAGCAACAGGGTAAAATATCATGATATATCATCATTATGTTATGTATTATTATAAAATATCAAAAATTTTGAAAAAAAAAAAAAAAGATTAACCCCATGTAAAAAATTTACCTTGTCTGTAGGGGGCGCTAATCGGCCAATTTGAATAATTTAACTTTCAAATGACCTAGACCTAGAATTTTCTATTGGCAAAAATGGCAAAAAAAAGTCACATTTTGGCCGGGCCGCTGCTCAAACAACGTTTCACTGATCAAAGTTCTATGAAAATATAGTGATGGCCCATGTGTTTACACGATGTGGAGCGATTTTGAGACAAATCGGTGAAACGGCCGAGTCCTGACTGGGGTAAGGGCCTATTGGTTTAACAATGGTGAATGCAAGGGGTGGCGGTGAGCTTCAGCGCCCAACGTGACGATTGCGTGCGTAACTTCAAATGCTTTAAAATTGTGTATCATGTGCCATTGAAACTTATACTGTTTTTGCTCTGAGCCTTTTGAAAATTTCTTCTGCACTTTATGCCTTAATTTGACCCCCTGAACATGATGAAAACTTGCCAAATTTTGCCTAAAATCAGATTTTGGTGTTTATTTTTATGGGACTAAAACAATGCCAGATCAGCGCTCCCTAAAGTCAGTTTACATTGTGCCTATGGAGGGGGGGGGGGGGGGGTGGGGTGAGGTCAAGTTTGTCGTAGAGCCACGAAATTTGGTACACATGTTCCTCAAGTCAAGACATGAAAAAAGTTACTATGGCCCCGCCCTCTAACAAAAAGGAAGCCCATTAATTTCTCTGCAAAATGGAAAAATTCTAATTTTCACACATATCGGTTGGAAAGGAACTCCTCCTCAGCCATTTTGCCTCAAAATTGCTCATCTCAACACATGTACCACCAATAGTTGTTCATAGAATTTTGATTAGTCACATGTTCATCCAATGGAGACTGATATGGACACACCCACAGATTATACATGTGCTCCTGTTTACACATAACGTACAAAGTCTGTTTTGTACTAAACTTGACTTGGTTGTTCTACTCCTGGGCCTAGGTCACCTGAAGGTGTGAAATATTACATTGACATTGTTCATTGTACATAATATCAATCCAGGTCCAGTAGTTCTGACCAAGTCAAGCATCAACATCTGTAGATGGGTCCCAAGGAGCTGTACTATGGCGACCACTGCTCCTGTTGGACGCCCTAGTGACAATAGAATGGGTCAAATGCAGAGAATGAATACATAAACTGCGCCTTTAATAAATGAAAAAAATTATGCACAAAGAAACAAGGACATATGTTAGGATTAGAAATATGTTCTGTTGATTTTAGTCTACAAGACATACTGTTCTGATTCAAGAGAGGGCAGGAATGGGGTAGAAGCCAGGGAGAAACTGAGAATTTGTCCCAGAAACAACCACCCCCACAACAGATATCTGGTGACAAGTCTGATCAACACGTCACTGTTGTTGCAAAAAAAACATAACATATAGGCTGTTCTGCAAGGTACAAATGTATTTTTACAAATTAAAGATGGAGAATTCATCACACACAGATAGATCAATATATTGTGACTTCCCCCTGTACAATGTGGGCTTTCCGGTTGTTGAAGAATCCTCTGAATTTGCCATTGTATTTATAGATCTGCGCCCACTCCTTCTTAACTCCTTTCTTTGTCTGTCGTTGTTTTGTGTCTTGCGTCTGTAATTTGGTTCTTTGGTGGGTGGCCATCAGATGTCACTTAGGCATGCGTCATCATCCTAGTTGTTCTTGTTTACCTTCTTGGGCTTTTCTTTCATTGTGATTTTGGTGACGTCTCTCTATGACAGCCAGCATCCGGAGTAAGCCATTAGATAGAATAGAACATCTATTAAAAGAATATTGAGAAAAAGGAGTTGGCCGACGTATATACAGTGGGGCAAAAAAGTATTTAGTCAGCCACCAATTCTGCAAGTTCTCCCACTTAAAATAATGACAGAGGTTTGTAATTTTCATCATAGGTGCACTTCAAATGTGAGAGACAGAATGTGAAAAAAAAATCCAGGAAGTCACATTGTAGGATTAAAAGAAAAAAAAAAAAAAAGTTAATTATGTTGGAACATTTTTAAATTATGATGAAAATTACAGACCTCTGTCATTATTTTAAGTAGGAGTATAATTAAAGTATAATTAAAGTATTAAATAATTAAGTATAATTAAAATTTGCACTGACTGATCTAAATTTGTCCCGGGCATTCTGAGACTCTGGAGGAGTGGACCTGTAGTTATTATAACAACAAAAGAATAGGAAAGAGAAACGTAATACATACATATGTTGTATTCTGCTGTCAACCCTGTATCAAGTACAAGTTAGCAAATAGCTCAGTTGGAAGAGCATTGGCCTTTGAGCCAGAAGGTTGTGGGTTCGTGGCCACCTCAAGACTTTCACTGTTGAGTCCCACTGTCTGCTGTCATTGTGTCCTTGACAAGACACTTTACCTCTGAGAAAGAGTCTGGTGTGTGTGAATGGTTGGTGGTAGTTAGAAGGGCCAATGGCACATACTGGTTGCCTTGCTTCTGTAAGTGTGCCCAAGGGCACACCAGGTGCCTGTGGTTCGGCGGCAGCTGTAAAGTGCCAAACTGTGATTGTGTCGTCATGCAAGACACTTCACCCACATTTCCTAAAATGAGTCTGGTGTGTAAATGGTTGGTAGTGGTCAGAGGGACTGATGGCACATGCTGGTTGCCTCCAGTGGCGGCTGGTGGAATTTTCTACTGGGGGGGCTATGAATATGATGACTAGATATATACCAGCAGTAAGTAAGTTGGGCTTTATCGATGAAGCGAATCACAAGCACAAGCTGACACTGAGTAGAAATATCCATTGTTTCATCAGCTTGAATGGAGACAAAGTCTGCACTCCTGATTTCTCCAATGATGCACTCTCTCATGACTGACAGCATGCAGTCCAGGAGTTCATTCTGTACGGTCTTAGATGTCCCCTTAAACACAGTGGCGGTCTGCAGGTGTTCATGTAGTACTGCATCCAGTGATGCTACAAGATCCACCAATCCTCTGAAAACACCAGGATTTCCTGAGGATTCACTTTCATCATGGCCTCGCAGGGCAAGTTCAAATGCACCACAGAATTTGACACAGTCTATTATTTTTGATAGGATGTGCCTATTCTTGTCAACCTCCTCATTGTGCTTTCTGATCCCTACCCTGTAGCTTTCATCCAGCTGGGAGGAAATATTTATCTTCCCAAACATAGCTAATTTGAGGGAATTTTGCATGTGGATACCAGTCTGCTCATGCTTCTTTGCCTTTTCTAAAAAGTGCTTCAGATCAGTCATACCTGTCTTGATCCATGCTGGGTCAGATCCTGATGTTTGAAACAAGAGGCATGGAAAGCAAAATAAAGCATTAGCCTCGCTACATGCTGCTAGCCGTCTCTTTACGTTCGTCTCAAACTCCCACAGCTTGACCTGTCAATCACTGTAAACGGACGTCACAGACAGTGACAGTACAGGTCGCGGGCGATCCCGCCCCCTCAGGGCGCACTTCTCCTGCGCCCCCAAATCGTCTTATCTCTTGCATTGAAGAGGAGCTACTGCGCATGTACAACTTTTAACGAGAGTCCATAGACGGCTCAGGGCGCAATCTTTTGCACCCTGAGGCGGAAATACGTCCTCAGTCCGACACAGACAACGCTGATGAGCTTAATCAATCCAACTCAGCATAAACTATAAAGTATTTCTTCCACATCTGAAATAAAACACACATAAATTTCGACATATTTTAATGTTATTATTTTTTTTAACGTTTTATTCAAGGTAACATGGCAAGTTGTGAGTGGTGGGGTGGCGCCCTAGCGCCCTCTATTGGCCGGCCGCCACTGCTGAGAACTAACTGTTGCATTCGAATTGTTAAAGTGACGTACGTCACCGCCGTAAGCTCCGCGCCACGCGACTAATCCACTAGGCTTAAGCAGGGAGTAGAATCTGATACGCGCAGACGGAGCAATTGCCAGTATTATAGAGTTTTATTGCTGGGAGTAGAATTGAAATCAGGCACTTACTGGGATTTATGTATGAGGGTCACCCACCACAAACACACACACACACACCTCTGACGCTGGCATGTGCACTAAATAGACAACACAGTGCACGCAGCCCGTGATACCTATAAGCGGTGCTTGTACCAGTCACAGTCACACAGGAAAACTAAAACCTCTGAATGTCGCTACAGTAGTAAATGCAATACTTACTCTATTCTTTGTTTGCAGATCTACAAAGTCCATCTACAAAAAATGGGTCATCTGTGTCAGTGTGGAAAGACCTGATGATCTGTTCTGAACTTAAGGATCACTACAGGAACTCACATGGCGAAAAAAACCATATGTGTGTGACCTGTGTGAACAGGTTGTTACTCAAGCAGCAAATCTTGAGGCCACAAAGGAATCCACACTGGAGAAAAACCCTTAGCTGTGACGTTTTGTGGTCAGAGTTTTAGACATGAGAATACTCTGAAAGATCATCAGTGGATCCACACAGGAGAGAAACCATTGGAGTTTTGATTCAGTGGGACAAACATTTAGGGAGGAAGAGATACTTTCAGTACATAGCATGTCCACAGGGAGAGAGACTCACCAATGTGACCAGTGTAAAAGGATTTTACAGTTTATTTGACCTCACTAAACACTACAGAATACACATGGAGAAAAACCATTCGTTCTGTGGAGACTGTGGGAAGGAGTTTGCGTGTGTTTCCTCCCTACAAAGTCATGAGAGATGAGGATCCACACCGAGAAAAACCATTTGCTGGGACTTCTGCAGTAAAACTTTTAGAACTGCAACCATCGCACAGTCACATCGGAGCCCAACTTGGAGAAAAAACCATACGAGTGTGATCTGTGTGGAAATGGTTTTATTACAAAAGCATATTCAAGTCCACAGCAGAATCCACACTGGAGAAAAACCTTCAGCTGTGACGTTTGTGATCAGAGGTTACTCAGAGTGATTCTCTCAAACGTCATCAGAGGATCCACACTGGAGAGAAAACCATTTGTCTGTGAAAAGTGTGTGAGAACACGCGCTCCTTTTACACACAGGTTTCTCTTCATGGACACATTTAAACCTGTAAGAAGCAGGTGTGAAGACGCAGACATCTGGAACAAAGTGAAGGAGACAGAGCTGAGGCTGCATATGTGAACCCAGAGGGCAGAATTACTGGTTCACCACTCAGTCTTAACCAATGTTCTCTAACTTTTCATGAGTCTGAGCAAAAACACAAAGTCCCTGAGCCATGTGAGCGAGTGACTCATGGAATAAACCATTCACATCTTGAAACACCTGCTTGCAATCCCATTTACTGAAGTTTAGTTCAGCTTCAAACAAATGATTGTTTCAATATGACGTGCTATACTCATCACGTGATCATGAGAAATCGGGGGAGACCCATAGTTTGAGAAAGGGATTTTGTTTTTTGATGAATGAATGGAAGGTACACAGACCCAAATTCTGATTCCAAGGTCTTATATCAAATGGTGAATTCAAGTAGACGTAGAAGATATTTGGTGACTTGAAAACGAAAGAAAAATAAGGATTGGGCTATGCAATAATTGTAATGTAGACCATTTAAATTAATTTTATATTTATTTTATTATAGAACAAAACAAGCCTATAATTATCTGATGTTTCATTGCACAAAACCAATCTTCTCAGCCATGGGACTCTAAAACTGTCTAACTGTTTCCGTTTATGATTGAGCCCAGCGTGTGGGGCGTCCACCGCTGCCCGGTACGCTGTCAATCACGTTGATTAGCTGTAATAAATCTGTAATCAATCAGATATTTATTTTGTGCCCAGGACGTTTTCAGTCGGTTAAAGCTTCAGTGTGGAGTTTTTTTTTTAAGAGACCCACATATCAGGACTTTGAGCTTGTTTAAAGACTTTTATTCTATGTGTTGTACTTGATGTGTTTTGATGTCGTGTCTTTTTGTTCTTGTGTTGGAATATTAACAGTGTAAAGATATGTGCAGTTTTTTACCAGATCATAAATCTGTGCACACAACTGAAGCAACTCTGTAAAAATATCAATAAAAGCTGTGACATGATGCGGTGGCTTGTATAGGGACAATGAAGGTATTGGAGGAGATAGTTTTTGTTTATTTTAAAAGACACATATTCAAAAGACAAAACTTCAGAGACATTCATATATAATTTCTTGTATCTAAAAGTTTTTTGCTGTGAATTATTCACTCTGGTTATCATTAGCTTTGCCTTGTTTGGGCTTGGCCTCATTTTGTTCCAACAATGGTCTCCAGTGATTTAGGAAATGAAAACGCATCGTCATGACTACGTTTTGTCCATTTCCTTCAATTTGCTTGGTCGTGTTGAGCCCATTTCTGATTCTAGGTCAAACTTCTGTCTTGGATGTTTTTACTACTGTTTGAGTGACACCTGCCTCCTTTTTACAAAGGTGGACCCTGTGGGTCTCCAGGTCTAAGCCTCAGAGACCTCTTCCAAAGGTGGACCCTGTGGGACTCCAGGTCTAAGCCTAGAGACATTTCCAATGGTGGACCTGTGGGACTCCAGGTCTAAGCCTCAGAACTCCTTCCAAAGGTGGACCTGTGGGGACTCCAGTCAAGCCTCAGAGACCTCCTTCAAAGGTGGTACGTGGGACTACAGGTCATTGCCTCAAAGTCTCCTTCCAAGAGTGGACCCTGTGGACTCCAGGTCCAAGCCTCAGTGACCTCCTTCCAAAGGTGGACTCCTCTGGGAGTCCCAGGTCCTTGCCTCAGAGACCTCCTTCCAAAGGTGGATCCTGTGGGACTCCAGGTCCAAGCCTCAGAGACCTCCTTCCAAATCGCATAAACCAACAAACAGGCGTAGTGTTGGAGTCTTTACAAGTTTTGATTAGCCAACAACAGATCAAGAATTAAACAGTTCTGGGAAAGTGGCTCAGCTTATGTCAAATCAGCTTTCTGCATTAAGGCTATAGTTCTGGTGAACTCAATCAGTTCCAGTCTAAAATTCTATTTTTGTCAAAATACACAAAGAAAATGTGAATACGCAGCAGATAAAATGAAAGTGGCCTTTGAGCCTGAAGGACGTGGGTTCGAGCCCACCATAAGACGACTCCTCTATCGGTGTGTCATTTGGCAAGACACTTATACCCACTGTGCTATAAGGAGGCTTGTAGCACAAACAAATACTGCATGCCTTGATTGAGATGTGTATAGGTTAGTTAGGTTCTTTTTATTCTTTTCATGGAAATTGCATTAGTTTACAGTAACTCGTTTTATTTTCATTCATTAAAGATGATCAAAAGAAATCATAAGTGTATGGAGTGGAGGGAGGGAGGGAGGGCAGCGGAGGAAAGGAGGGCAGCGGAGGGAGAGAGGGAGAGAGGGCAGAGGAGGGAGAGAGGGCAGCGGAGGGAGGGAGGACAGCGGTAGAACAGCGCGTTAAAGAGGCCCGGCTTTTCGGAGTCAAAGGTAAAGAGGTCCGCACATTAAAAGCGGGTGGCCGGTTTATGCCTTTACTGCAGTGTTTTTCAACCTTTTTTGAGCCAAGGCACACTTTTTTCACTGAAAAAATCTTGCGGCACACCTCCAGGAGAAAATGTAAAAATGTATACAGTACTAATGTAAAAAAATATATACTGTACATACTCTGTGTGATATATAAAGTATATCTTATCTTATAATGTATACAGTATACTCTGTAGCCTATATTCACAATATACAGTTATTCTCATCAAAATGCTTAAGTCCAGGCCTTGAAATTAAGCTTTATTTAATATTTCTCGATACAATTAACAAGAGTTTGGGAATAAAGTGGCACTAACTGTGTGGAAAAAAACTAAGAAAATCCACTCTCTGCCCAAATAGTCAAATAATAACTCACACAAAGAACATGCATTGTTAGTGCATGGGAAACATTTTGGTATCCGAGCTTTAAATTCAGGAGTTTTGGATGAGGGACACGGGAGGTCCTGAACGCGAGTCCATGGTTCTGTCCGGTCCGCATGTCTGTGGTTCTGTCCACTCGACTACGGTCTGCGCTCGGTACCCAGTTCAGAAGTGCGTTCGCGAGAGCTGTTGTACAAAAATTGTACATTTCATAGTTAAACCACTACAACGCGGCATCAGCTGCCCCGGGGCAGAGCGGAGGATGTTAATCCTGTTCAGAAACGGCATAATTCATTTTCAAAAACGTCTCTATCACTTTCACTTCTCACTCGCCACAAAGCTCTTGTCTCGCTCCCTCACACATTTGTTGGTCGCATCCAATTTTACCTTTCTCGCCACAATGCTGACCTGTTACAGCCAGTGGTCGCATCCAATTTTTCAGTTTCAAAGTACTTAGCTATCTGCTGCCATCTACTGATTTGAAAAAGTATTACATGGTTACTCACAGTTCAAAACAAGTCACCGCTTGTCAACAGCGAATGCAGCTATTTTTAGACAAAGTAGACGAATTTCTCACGGCACACCAGACAATATCATACGGCACACTAGTGTGCCGCGGCACAGTGGTTGAAAAACACTGCTTTACTGACAGTAACTTTGGAAAGAGAAGCCGCGGGGATGAACCGCATAAAGTAACAGCAGAAAGCGGCCGCCCGCTTTTAATGTGCGGACCTCTTTACCGCTGACTCCGGAAAGCCGGCCCACTTTACCGCGGTAGGAGAACAGTGAGGGCGAGCCGCAAGAAATGCGCTCCACTTCTGCTGAGGAGAGAGCCCACCAAGCCCATCACTGTGTCACTACATGAGTAAAAATATGCAAGCCTCCTTTTTTGGGCTGGACAGTGCAGCTCGGTAGTGGCGTGAGACTCTAGAAAGCGTTACTCCGTATCAAGGAAATACATGCTCATTTCATGTGATGGAAGGGCTGTTGGGGCGGGGGTCGCGGGTTAGCAGGCCAATTATGATGGGGGTCGCGGGCTAAAAACTTTGGGAACCCCTGATGTAGACAACACTATTGGACACTCATTTATACCGTTTATCAGCAAAAAGAACCGGTTAACCACGTTCTTTGAAATAACAGCCATTTCGAGCCGCGTACTTTTCATAAGTGCAGCTCTGCGTTCTACTGGATCAGAGTTGAGACAGCGGCGCCCAAACCCGCAACAGCTCCGGCACCTTTGCGCACAGAGAACTGCTTTTTTAATCTTCCCATTCTGCTGTGCTGCGGGTTAATACCAAAACTTTCTAGCAGCAAACGACGGCTCGTTCACATGGTCAGAGCAGCGAGTGACGAGCCGCGTCTCACAGGTCTTCACAAAAGTTTAAATACAAGTGATGTGTGTGGAGCTGATCCCGAGGACCATAAACACAAACATGTTCCATGTGGTTTGACTGGAGCCGCGTATTTGCGCAAATCCTTTGGGCTCCGTGACACAGAGGAGCGCGACAGACCGGTATGTGTATGTGTGTGTGTATGTATATGTGTGTGTATGTATATGTGTGTGTGTATGTATATGTGTGTGTATGTATATGTGTGTGTGTATGTATATGTGTGTGTGTGTGTAAATGTAAGCTCCAATGTAGTTCTGACCCGCGCCAGTGTGCAACTTTGAGGGGCGAGATGATGCGTGTGGATGTTACGTATGGAGAGGGGGAAAGTGTGTGTGTGCGCGTGTGTGCGTGCGTGTGTGTGTGTGCGTGCGTGTGTGCATATGTGGCTCGTGCGACGCGAGAGTCGTCCCGGAGTTTATAATACATTGGCGCACACAGCTAGATACAGACCCGCTCGTCACACCGTGCAAATAGGGCTTAAAATAGCGTTATTAAGAGACCTCCCCTCTCCCCTTTTTCTCTTTTTTAACCGACAGCTTTGACCGGTTAACGCTGTGACGGTCAACCACCGGTTAAACGGTCGCCGATTTACATCCCTAGCTAGCGCTAGCTCGAGACTCGGCTCACTCACTAACCCTGGATTCCAAAGCTACTACAATACTACACTTAACACATCTATCACTGCCATCAGAGGAGGATCCGGGTTTTAAACTCATCATATGGCAACTCGAGCAGTAAAGGGCCAAGGGAGAGACAGCGGCAGCCATAGGGGTAGCGAGTTAGCGGCTAGGCTAAACTAGGCTAGGCTAGGCTAGTCCGGACTCGGGTCTGGACCACAGCAGATTCCGAGACCAGACAAACAATCGATACCCAAACCTCAGATACAATAATAATAAATGAATGAAACACAGTCTTGATACAATCACAGATTTATTGAAAACAAAAGTAAAGTGCAAAACCAACAGTTTACAAAGTCAAAAGTACGTATGTCTGAGACCAGGTCCAGACCAGGTCCAGATGAGAATACTCCGGTCACTCATTACTTGTTGGTAATCTCCACACTTATGGAAAGGGATTCTCATACAAATATACACACGACAACTTAAATACAAGCACTAAACAGAATGACAACACGTGAATACTGCAGATTATACGAGATAAAGCACAGTAGCACAGGGAGGACGTTAGCTTAGCTGCTATCGATAGCTAAATGAAGCTAAATGTAGCTAGCTCACTGTGTACAACAGACAATCAAACATGTACACGGTAAATACATTTCAGTGAGAGCTTTAGGGGGTTCGTAGCTAGCCAGTTATTTCCAGGATTACCACAGACTAGTCACAAATCCAGAGCTGGTGACACATACCCCTGACTGCAGTCCGCAGATCGGGGCGGAGCTCAACGTGGGCGGAGTCAAACGGTTGACTCCGCCCACCGCGGAAGCTTCTTTTTTTTTTCTTTTTTTTAACGGAAGCGTTTTTTTTTTTTTCATTTTACCCTGATTTTAATCTTGATCAAGGGTAAAATCATCAAGTTGATGATTTAAAAAAATAATTAATATTTATCGGTCCCGATATGCTTTTCATTCTTCTACTCCTTTGTATATTATGTATATTTATAAACTATTTTTGGTACCATTATTTATTATTGCACCTGATTCTGACCGATTCTGATGTTACACCTAAGCTTGTAATAATATAAAAAGCTTTTGTATGGGACACCATTCATTGTTATTTATATCAGGATCACATCTGGTGTCAAAATGTAAATCTTTGGTAAAACCTGTTTCTTTTTGTCTCAAATGTAAATACCAGCTTACATAATAGTAAGGTTACATAATATTCTACATGCATTCTTGTCTCATAAAATAAATGATACTAATATAATAGTAATATGATTACATTTCCATGAGCCCTCACAACTTTACACACAACTTTTTAATGAGGTTCAGCTCCCACTGAACTAGAACAGTGAAGTGAAATCAACATTTAATATCAGGCTTCTACTTTCAACTTGTCAAAAGCCTTATTTTTTTACTGTCCATTATTTTTTATCCATGCTGCCTTCATTTAAAAAAATAAAAATTCTTATATAAATGTATCCACTCAATTATATCAGCTACATTAAGGAGAACAGAGACTGAATTGTGCCACTGACACTTCTGAAAACATGCCGAGGTTTGAGGTGGGGTAGCGAGACAGTGGACCCAAGGATGCAGACTTGATGTTTCAAAAAGGTAAATTTTATAACACAAACAAAAGCCATAACCGGAACACAGGTATAAAAAAAGTACAAACAAAATCACCAAAAACCACACTAGGAGAACCAAAACAAAGTGAAAATGCAAAGAAATGCAGCATGTGTGAGCAGAAAATTATCTCATTTCAAAGCCGGAAAACACCTGCAGCTGCCTTTTGTCCATCATTTCCTTGCAGAACTCCTCATAGTCTGCCTGCAAACTAAACATGAACATGAACGGTTCACTGAGGTCTTCTTTATACTCTTCATCCAGGCCATCACACATGCGCAGCATTTCCACTGCCCTCAAGGAATCTTCCTTGTTCATGGTGATGACCTGGGGAAGGTAAAGTTTTCCCTTGAAGGATCTTGTGCCACACCACCTTGCTGCCGTTAAGGTGTCCATAAGCAGGGAATCCTCCTAATGAAAAATTAAGAAAATGAATATTAAAATAGAGGTTGAAGAAGGCAGCAAACAGTGAAATAAGAAAATCTCACAACGGGTAACATACTCCGTTCCCAGTTCCCACTTCCGGCAAGCTCTCAGCCTTTGCTAGAAAGGAAACAGATTATGGTTCTTAAAGGTATAATAACAATGCAAGTTCTAAAAAAGATCAGTAGCTTATTTTAAGTATACTGGTTTAATGAAAATTGAGAAATTACAGCAAAACCAGCTACGTCACATCCCATCTCTACAACCTTGGGGGTTGTGTACAATAATACTGTTTTGAACAATACCTGATGCTTCAGAGACAGATTCTGAAAGCCGAATACTTTTTGGAGGGACCACTTCCAGATCCTGAAATAAATGGGGGGGATTATGCTTTAGTCTGCAAGCAATAGTTTGACTACAGGACAAATTAATCAACTCTCACCTGTTTTCCTTTTTGCTTTCTCCGTCTTTTTCTTTCCTGCAATCTGGTTTCCTTAGACCTTGATGATGTAATGACAACATTAATTTACTATGAAAACATTCATGTTGGTCTGTTGACCGTGAGTATTTAAAAGGATCTGATTCAAAAGTGTGATCATGAGGGCACTTACGGCATGGGGAAGTTCTGTAGGAGGACAAGACACCACCATCTCCTAATTTGCAGCATGTTTTCCTTTGAAAAAAGAAAGGAAGATTCAAATATGTGTTCAGGAATGATAAGTTGTATACTAAGCGTAATGTGTCACAATTTTCACATACCTCTCTGAAGTCACAATTGGCCCCCATTACAATGTACAGCGTGTACTGTAAGTCAAGAGGTACTGGTTAATGGACTAATGTCATGCATATTTCCTCAGGATACAATTTTCCAATACATATAATGTGTTTTTAATGTAGCAAGCAAACATTTTACAGATAACAGCAAAGATATAACATACTGAATAGGTCTTACCATCAAAACAAACACGCCACAGTTGTTGGAGCACCCTTGCTTTGTTAGGCCCTGAGGTGTGAACAAGGTCTTTTAATAAAAGAATGGCAAGAAAATAGTAAATGTTAGCAAATACTATGAAGTAACGTCTCACCTGAACATCATTCACGCCAAGCTCCCTCCAGGGGCCAGGAGACAGGCTGTGAGCAATGTGTCTGTGCAAAGAGTAAGCAGAAGTAACTAAAAGTAACTGAACTAAAATCAACTTTTGATTCAAATGCAAACACTTTGAACAAACCCTCATCAGTGCATTTTGAAAGCGATATTTCACCATTGATCAGTATGCTGATGTGTCTCTATATTAGAGGGGAAAACAATAGACATAAAAGGCACAGCAATTAGAAACACACGAGACAAAATATATGAAATAATTTTATTTAAAAAACAAATGTCATGTCATGGATGTTAACATGCAAGGAAGAGCAATATCAATTTCCTGCAGATTACTCAGATGTAAGTGTCAGATTGTCAAATGCTTATGAATGGTACCATTTCAAATATGCTTAAATCACATATTAGCATATTGGCTTTATATTCTTACATTATTCTATATTCAACATGTAACAACGATTAAAAAAGTAACGTATTTTCCCCGCGAAAAGTATAATATTTCCCCCCCAAAAGTAATAACGATCACATAACATTTTCTCCCCAAAGGTATAATATTTTCCCAGTACGTCGTGCCGGATAAATATGAATCTAAAACCCAGAAAAGTCGTTTTTAAGTCCAGGTTTATATAATTTTCGCTGCAACAGTAATGCTAGGTATACTAGATTAGAAGTCCAACCGTGCAGAATGCAGATACAACAAGTATAACTTATTTTAAAATAAAAATAATGTTACCACCTTCCTTGTCGGTAACAAATATAGCAAAGTTGCACGTTAAAACAGAATGAAAAAACTGGCCTACAGTACCTCCATTCTGCCAGCTACTTCGCTCTTCTTCTCCTCTGCTTCTTCTCCTTCTCTGTCATACGCACAGTCCTCAATGCCTAGCTCCCGCTCGGCGGAGCTCAACGTGGGCGGAGTCAAACGTTTGACTCCGCCCACGTTGAGCTCCGCCCCGATCTGCGGACTGCAGTCAGGGGCTACTCAACTGTTGTGCAAATGTTAATAGTGATGTGAGATATGCACCAAAGCGACTGAGAACTGTAAAGCAGCTCTGCTTGTGTACATGTCTCTCCATGACCTAGCGCTAAAGAGGAGGCTCTGAGGAACTGGTCTCCAGCGATGACTCTGAGGAGAACAGCGACTGGCCTGCTGCTGGTTGTTTCCCCCCCTGTTTTTTAGGCATGTTCTACTATTTTTGGTCATGATTCAGGATAATGGGCAACATGGCACGTTTGGTCATCTGTCTGATGATGTCTTTGGTAAACATCTTGAAATTCAGAGCAGCAGATGGGATTCACTGAAATAGCATCAGTGTAATTATGTTTCCCATCTGTCAGTAGTGCGAGCTTGTGAGCTTGAATACCCAAGAGTGCAAAATAGTTGACTCAAGTGATACATTCCATGGGTACATCCTGAATTCAGAACAGTTTATAAACTTTTTTTTTTAAATGATTGATGTCAGGTCATTTCCATTTTTAATGTTACAGTGAAAAAGGTTTCCTGCCCTTCAAATAACTCGTCCTTAGCCTGCAAAGAGGGCCTCCTCCTGTGTGTTTACATTATAAAATGGTGTTCCTTTGGCTGTAATCCTTCACAGGAACATGTAAATATGTCTGTTTCAACCAAAGATTTTCCATAATATGTTTTTCCACTTTCAGAATTTTGCCTCACATTCCAAAACTATTTCTCAAAACTTACTTTAAAAATTGAGTCTGTTTTTTAGGACTTTTCTGCTTTTCTTGAACGTCTATAGTTCTAGCACTAGATGTCAGCAGGGAGTCTAAGCTTCCAATAAACCACAAATAAGTCGACAGCGGGAAAGTTTAGGAGCGGAAATGGCCACTAAAACAGGTTTGTGAACTGCGTGCGGGGTTTTCTTTTCTATATACAATGTTGTGTTAACAGTTTGGTGTTGGGTCAAAGGTCGTAGAGGAGTAAAGCGGAAAGCGGCTCAGGCCCAGGAGGATCAAGCATCTGCAGAAGACACGAGAGAGAAGACCATTGCGGAGACAGATGTGGCGGGGGAAAGAGTGGTGATCGAGCACTGGTGAGCTAGGTTGTAATGGTCTCCAACATTACACTCCAACTTTATCTCTGGAGATCTACTTTCCCAAAAGGGCGAGACTCTCCGGTGGTTAACACAACAAAACATCCTCGATTTAAAAAAAGGACATACAAATTAAGGCATCAAGAGTGTTCAGTATGTATTTTGGGTGTTTTGAATTACTTTGGGGGGACCTGAGGATAAAACTGAGTTAAATCTTTTAACCTGTCTATCACAAAATTTTGTTTGGTTCCCCTTTACTAAACGTATACACTTTTTAATTCAATGAGGAGGCTGGAGCTTTAACCAGTCCCTGATGGCTTACCTGCTATTGCTGTAATATTGTAGTTCAACAATATACCGTTTTTTCATAACTTTGCATAACCTGCAAAAGTGCGTCACTTTTTCAAAATGAAAAGCGACAAAGCAAGTATTTATGTCAATTAAACTGTCTGTGTCATCAAAATAATAAGTCCTGACCGCAGTGTTTATTAAAGCCATTTAAGTCATCAGGACTAAACCAAGACTAATGGTGCTTTCAGACCGGCAACGCTGAAACGCACGTTCTATAGTTTTCAGACGCGGAGGTCTTGACCATAGACTGTATATATTAATGGACAGAGTCACGCCTATCTCTGCCGTTCTAACTAATGGGCCAAAAAATGTGCTCTTCTGGAGCAATCCAAAATGGCTGCGAGTGGTCCCGCCCACAAGAAAATTGTGAAAAAACGCATCTGCGCATGCGTCAGTCGGCGCAACTCCATTCATTTGAACGAGAGACTTAAAAAATTCACAGCGAGTAAACTAGAGTGGACCAAAAAAATCCACCCCCCTCAGCATTGACACACATGTGGAACGGAGCTTTGGGCCAAGAGCCAACTTTTGGTCCATCCTGTAAAGACGTTTTTGAGAGGTCTGCCAATGCTATATGTTAGCATTGGCTAATTCTTCTTCTGGGTCCACCCCCATCGGCCCGGGGTGGTATTGCAAGCATGTCAGCGCACGCATTTTGGCCACTTTTGAGCTGGGACCCGCCCCCACTGGTCTTGACACCGGCAGACCTGGCGCGGGCCGGAAGTAGCCGGCGGGCTATGATGCTAACAGAGTTTAGCTAGCGGCCTCTTGTGTACAGATCTTCTCCAATAATGCAGCTTTGCAGCGTGACTGTGTTCAGAGACCTTCCACGGACTTTATATAACAGTAGTATGTGTTCACGGAGGTGCGTCATACGTTTATTTTATTATTAAACAGTACTTCCGCATCGGCGAACACACTCGAAGCAGTTGCATAAACTCAAGGGTTGATAAACGTATGGCGCACCTCCGTGAACACATACTACTGTTATATATAGAAGATCCGCACACAAGAAGCTGCTAGCTAAACTCTGTTAGCATCAGAGCCCGCCGGCTACTTCTGGCGCGCGCCAGGACTGCTGGTGTGAAGACCTCCACGTTTGAAAACTAGAGAACATGCGTTTCAGCGTTGCCGGTCTGAAAAACACTATCAGACCGCCAACGCTGAAACGCTGAAGCCCCGCTCACCAGACGCTCATTCTTATTTATACTGTGCATTTATTGTATTGCAAATTTTGTGTGTGTTATGTTTTTTTATTTATTTTGTTTTGTTTGTTTTTTTGCACTATATGATTTATATTATTTACCTGCATTTAATTACCTTATTTACTCACCTGTGCCATTTCCTGAAATAAATGAATGAATTCTCTAGTTTTCAGACGCGGGGGTCTTCAGACCGAGAAGTCCTGGCGCGCGCCGGAAGTAGCCGGCGGCCTATTATGCTAACAGAGTTAGCACTCGAAGCAGTTGCATAAAGTCACGGGAGCATGAAAATGCATATGTTCACAAGCACTATATCCTCCATTGTCAACCCTGGTTTAGTCCTGATGTAGCTCCTGTTTTGGCTGTTAACAGTATGTTCAGTCTGTTCGCTCAGTCCACTAAGGTCCCCTTGACCACTTTGCGGCTCTCTGATTGGTCGCTGCACAAACGTCCCGAGGAAAGGTTGAGCAAAATCCATCTCCGGCGCGTGTCGCTTCTCCGCTCCTGCTCCTCCCCTTTGACTTTCCCGCTCAGTCCGTGCGTGTCTACTGAGCAGTCCGTGCGTGCATTCCAAGGCACTCGTGCGTTTTGACGCTCGAACGCGCGTCACCATTGACTTTGCATTGAAAGCAGACACAACGCATGATCCTGTCTGAATGTGGCATGAACGCAGCAATAGTCATGTTTTCTTTGTGACTTTTTTACTTCACTTTCTAAGTTAATTGGTAACCCTCTTGTTTGTTACAGCAAAAGCTGACGAGTGTACGGGCGAAAGGCACAGGAAGTGAAGTCTGCACTTCTTGATGCACGCCCTGATCTCACTGTGGTCCTCAACCCCCAAAAACCTCGCAGGAAGAGCTTTGAGATTATCTGGATAGATGGAGACAAGAAAGGTATGTAGAAGCTTCTATGTTTCTGTTTTTGTTCCTTTGTGTCTTTATTAAAGTTTTTTGTGAACTTGCAAATTCCATATAGAACTGCTTAGGTTCTTTTTTCCGCTGAATACATGATCTTTATCTCAATCTTCTAGAAACAACCTTATGGACTGGAATAAAGAAGGGACCACCTGCAAAGCTGAAGTTTCCTGAGCCAAGTATTGTTGTTGCTGCTTTGGAGGAGGCTTTGAAGTCTGACTAGGTTCAAGTGCAGGTTTGTCTACCTAGCCATCTTTTTATGTTGTGGATAAGCCAATAATTTAGGATTAGCATTGTTTATTTGTTTGTCAGCAAATATAAACTGAAAAGTGTAAAGTTGTTGAATTGCATTAACAATCTTTTTTATTTTTTTTTTTTTTAGATTTGTTTTCAAGAGGTGTAACTGTTGAAGCAGCATGAAGAAGACGGACCAAAGAGATCCTCTCAGTCTGTCTTCTGATGAACCAGCTACAGCTGTTGACTTTATAAAACGAGACTGCCACCTATTGGAATTACTGCGTAAATGGATTCAATTAGCTTTACTTTTTATTTTTACTGTTCAATTCTATTGAACTGTGAATCGGTAATCTGTTACAAAACATGTTTTATACTGTTATCCAAGTCTAGTTGAATAAATACTCCCTTTTTTGTTTATTGGTATCTATTCACTCTTTTGTATAAACAAACACTATATGAAAAAAAAATGCTTACACACTAGTGAACGTCACTAGGCATTTTGAAAGCTTTTGAAGATGGTAAAAATATAAGAATTTGGTTGGGAAGAAGATAGTAATGAGGTTTGAGCTTGCAAAAACTTGCACGGATTGTCTGGATTATTCCAGGCAAAAAAGGGTTGATTTTGACAAACTAATGAACGTAAAGCTTGGGAAATTCTCTTTCTGCATGAACAAAAGTCGTCGTTAAAAGTGTATTTTAAGTTAAACTACATAACTCGAATATGTGCACATTTAGGTTAATTACGGTCATTTAAACAAAAAAGCAAGGCTGTTCTGTTACAACGGATCAAAAACCGTGATTCGCGCATGCATCTATATACCCAAATACATTTGTACATTGTACATATTATACATCCATAGTATACATAGAATTATGTATGTACATGGAATTATAAAAACCGGCATAAAGTCCAAAATGTTCTATTGGTTGATTAAATATTACGTCATCATCACGCGACGGTGCAGCAGCAGCGCTTTTTCAAGCCTTTCAGAGCCCTAATAACTTGCTCTTATATTAACGGGAAGGCTTTAAAGTCAAATTAACACATTTTTTAGATACATCGATGTTGACGGGTGAATAATCCCTTGGTACTATTAACTGAAGGTAGGACTTATCTTGATGAAGTGTTATTGATGCAATCGAACCAGCTAGCGTTAGCTAATGTGTTTGGTCCATGAGAACTAACGGGAAATGTGATTTGTTTTTTGTCATATTACGTTTTTTTTCTGTTTTAATTTAGTATGCAAGCGTTAGTGATGGCAACGGAGGCTATTGAAAAGCCAGCCGAAGACGTTCCTGGAAGAGTGGGTACCAGGTTCGATTTGGAAAAGGAGACTGAACTCAGATTCGAAGTAGAAGCGGGAGATGGAGCTGAACAGGTCGAGATGGAGCTGCTGTCCGGAATGGGCGAGGTGTTCGGTTCAGAACTCAATCGAAACAAGAAATATACATTCGGTCCGGGGGCGAAGATTGCTGTGTTTACCTGGCAAGGCTGTAGTGTAAATCTGTATGGGAAACCAGAGGTATCTAGTCAACCTTTGCAAACCTTTTTCAGTGTGTTTCGTCAATTCTAACTATATTTACTTTAAACAGGTTGCCTATGTGTCCAAGGACACACCAATGTTGCTTTACTTAAACACTCATGCTGCACTTGAGCAGATGAGAAAACAAGCAGAAAAGGACAATGAAAGGGGCCCACGGGTAATTGTGTTTGATTTTAGTAGAATAAGGTTAATTGTTGGGGACTGATTCATTTGCTTCTGTTTTACAGGTGATGGTTGTGGGGCCCACAGATGTGGGTAAGTCAACTGTCTGTCGTCTCCTTCTCAGTTACGCTGTTAGAGTGGGAAGAAGGCCAACATTTGTGGAACTGGATGTTGGTCAAAGTGGGGTGAGAGAGGTTTTCGGTTTTATGTTTACATTGAAATGAATGATTCTGCAGCAGGAATAAATAATATGCCTGTATACATTCTTCCTCAGGTTTCTGTTCCTGGAACTGTCTCTGCACTATGCATCGAAAGACCAGCGGATGTTGAGGAGGGCTTTTCTGTTCAGGCTCCACTGGTGTACCACTTTGGCTCAACTACCCCTGGAACAAACATCAAGCTTTATAACAAGGCAAGATGCATGTGATATTTTTTCCTTATCAATTAGGGTGATTACACATTTGTTTGAGCCCCATCCACTTTCCTTAACTTGGAGGTTGTTTTAGTGGCTATATATGCCCCAGAATATAATAGTTAAAATTATTTAGTTCACCACTATTTTACTAAACAATTCTTTTAGTAATGATAATAATGATTGTTTCACCTCTATAATTTTGTATATATCTTGCACATTGCAGCTCACATCTTGCCTGGCTGATGTATTTTCACAACGCTGTGAGGTGAACAGAAAGGCCAGTGTGGGAGGATGCATCATAAACACCTGTGGATGGGTGAAGGGCTCCGGCTACCAAGCTCTGGTCCACTGTGCATCTGCATTTGAAGTGGATGTGGTTTTGGTACTTGATCACGAGAGACTGTACAATGAACTGAAACGAGACCTTCCTCACTTTGTCAGAGTTGTGCTCCTTCCCAAATCTGGGGGTGTTGTGGAGCGATCCAAGGAGTGCCGACGCGACACTCGTGATGAGAAAATCCGTGAATACTTCTATGGTTTTCGTGGCATAACTTTCTATCCATTCTCTTATGAAGTGCGCTTCTCTGATGTTCGCATCTACAAAATCGGAGCACCGTCAATCCCGGACTCGTGCCTCCCCCTAGGAATGTCCCAAGATGACACACAGTTGAAGTTGGTGCCAGTAACTCCAGGGAGAGATCTCACATATCATGTGTTAAGTGTCAGTAGTGCAGAGGATGGAGAGGATGGTGTGAGAAAGGGTATTGTTGAGACCCCTGTGTGTGGTTTTATTGTTGTGACAAATGTGGACACTCAAGCTCAAGTGATGAAAGTGCTCTCACCAGCTCCACGGCCTCTTCCAAGACACACACTGCTCATTATGGACATCAGATTTATGGACATGAAGTAGTACTTTATGGGAATTAATTACCTTAAAAAATGGTGAATGAGAATTGATTTTAATTATTTTTTAGTAATTAAAACATTTAAGAATGTAATCAGAGATTTATTTTCCTTACAATAACTGCAAAAAAAAATGCATACATACAAGCCTTATTATGTAAAGTTTTCTGCCATCTCTGGAGGAAGGTGCCTCAATTATAACTTTAATTGCAATTTCTACCTCTGCCAGGGGGCTTGTGTTTTCACCAGGCTTTTTTCATCTGTCTCTCAGAAATGGGGCAAAGGACAAATGATTAGACTCTAGAGGGTATTGGATCACTTGGTCCACAGTCATTAAATTTTAAAAAAATGTAAATATGTATTGGGAGACAGTGGCTCAGTTGGTTGAGCATTGGCCTTAGAGCCTGAATGTTTTTGGTTCGAGCCCACCACAAGACCCACTTCACGACTCTCACTGATGACTGCTGTTGTTGTGTCCTGGGGCAAGTCACTTAACCCCAAGGCCCCTGTGGACTCACCACCTGCAGGAGGATCAGCGAGGGGCTGGTGCAGCTCTGACTGCCACCCCCTCCCCCCTAAGGGGGAGAAAATGGATGGATGGAAATATATTTATATTGAACAAAGACTGATCTTGAAGGAGGTTTATTCTATGGGTGCTGTTCTAATTCTGCAGCTTAATTCAATTTGTTTTGATTATCCTATGTTGCAAATGTTGAAAAAACTAAGTATGAAGCGCGTAATTTACATAACCACCCCCAAAATAGGCCAATCCATAGTCTGTAAATATTAGGCAATATTCATGCACATTAGGCTAATTAAAGACCATCCCATGAAATTATACAGGTAACATGCCACATCCAAACACTCCAATGTAAGGAGTAATACGAGTAGTGAGAAAACAATGAAGATAACATTTTATGATTACTTTTTATGATCATTATGTTCTATGGATTCTGTGATTGGCTGTTCACCCACCTGAGCCATGACGCGCTACTTCCTGGATTCCGATGTCGGCCTAGCTAACCGAGCTAACGAGTTTGTTGCTAACTCAAGGATGACCGATACGACCAACACCCAGAGGACCAAACAACCCGTTTGAGCGAAATTACACTTGGAAAACGTATTCCGTCTGTGGCCAATAGTGTACGTCTAACGGATTACAATTTGGATCGAAGAGTTAACGTTGTTTTCCAGAGCCTCTCCACAAACGTCCAAGGCTAGCCAGTTTAGCTAACTTCACTAGTAGAGGAATGATGAGTGTTGCAAAAACTTTTCATGCAAGGTAAGTTTTTATTTATGTTCCATCAACGCGTGTCTTACTGTACGTTTTTACTATTGTACATTTAAACACTGCCAGGGATGGGTGCAGTTTCATGTTATTTTCAGAGTCTTTCGCTGGCAGATGTCAGTTTTGTTATTGTGAACCAAGATCTGGCTTTACCACTACACTGCCGCGGTAGAAATAGTCCTAATACGAATGATATTTATTGCCTGTCGGAGTTGTTCAGACAGGGTTCGTCAACAATGCGTCTGCAGACTGTTGCAGGACAAGACTGGACGTGGAGAAGAGGGGATTAAGAATCATTGAGACAGATTGTCGTCATGTACAAGATGATTAACTAGTGACATTTCGACACGGACACGCTTCAATATTTGTTGGTGATTGTTGAAGGCTGGGGTGTGTCGCAGCTCTCGTGTTACCCAGATCAGTTTCTAGTGTTTTCTCAACACATTTCAAGCGTAACTAGTCATTCAAACTCGGTCATAAAGGTATATAGGAGGATTTACCCAAATTTTAGGGAAGAACCGCCCTTCACTTTTTGAACAAAACTTTCTGGTCTTATTTGACTAATATGTATCACCAGAGTGAGTGACAATTAGGAGGACCCATAGTCTTTATGATCCACCCGGAAGTAGAAAATCCTCATATCTTTTTTTAGTTTCAAATACAAGATGTTACCTTCTGTGCTGCTGGGACATTCATGTCCATTGATCACAGACTTTGATGACTTCCATTACATCTGAGTGGTCTAATACTATGTGCCCAGCTCAAATCAGTGGGATTTCTTTGTAAGACAATATTTCTTTTTCTCTGTTCTTTTTCAACAGGGGTGGATAATGTATTAACTGGAATGAAAGCCGATGGAACGTTAGGGTAAAATATGCAACAGATGACATGATCTCTATGGCTTCCAAAGAAGAATTCACAAGAGGAGCAGACATGTATTTGCACACAATGCGGTTGTGTACAACATCAACTGGTCTCATTGTGACCTGTGTCATCCATGTGCCATCTATCTGTGGATGTTTGGGAATGAGTTGATTTTGTTGTAACAGACTCGAATCCTGTGGGTTACGGAGGATCCACGGCCCAATTTTGTAATTTTATCTTTTTTCCCCTGTAAATACAATTTTATTGATATTTTTTAAACTATATTCCTTTTTTGTTTTTCATTCCTCCTTCATTTAAAACTGTATTTTCTGCCACCTCCACGTCTCTACCACCGAGTGCCTAGATGTTTTTTCTTGGAACAATCATAGAAGTTATAATCAGCTGCTGCACTTGTTAAATGTTTGCTTCTGCTGGCTACTTTTTCCTACCTCCCTATTTTTTCCTGATTGTTAAAGTTATAACACAAGCACAAATATCTACTCTTGTGATTTCCATAGTAGTGTTTTACTTGATACCTGTAAAGGTCAAATAAACTACTTGTTTGATTGCTAAACCAAATAGATGCATTAAGCCATACAAAAATTATATATTTATGACATACCACATGCACATATTTTTGCACCCATATATATATATAATAGTACAAACGTTTGAGAAAATTGTACAGTTTGTAAACTGTAATCATATATTTTATTTTTTGTAAAGTTGTGTTGTACATGTGGAGAGAATACGTCTATTTTCATTTGCTGATGTGCGTAGTAATGCCGCAATGAATTCTCATCACAAAGACTGTATTTGTCACTTTGAACACTGAAGTTCACTGCTACTCCGGTAGACGTTAGATTTCCACCTTTGCCTTTCTTTGCCTCCATCTCTGATGCCAGGCTTCAGTGGTGGGGGGATTGGGGCAGGCGTTGGGGGGCCTGCTTCAGCTCCTCCCCGTCCATTTCGTCCCAGCCGATATGTCCCCGTTTCGGCTGCCACCTTATTCCTTGTTGGGTCCACCACTCTCTTTTTTTGTTTTACGTAAGTGCTCACTTATTTATATTTGTTTTCTTTCTTTCTTTTTTATTATAATTTGCTTTGTTCAATCTGCAGGTGTCCTTGGTTGAGTGAACAGATTTCGTTTGTGGTTCCCATCTACGTTGCTGTTATGTTTCTTTTCACCCTCGCCAACTTCTGCATGGCCACTTTTATGGACCCTGGCATTTTCCCCAGAGGTAATACACACATGATTTATTTTCCTTAATCATTGCTCAAGTTGCTGTAATGTATACCTATTGATGTGTTGTGATTGTTTCACGCATCTGTCAAAGCGGAGGAAGATGAAGATAAAGAGGATGACTTCCGTGCACCACTCTATAAGACTGTAGAGATCAAGGGCATTCAGGTTCGCATGAAGTGGTGCTCAACCTGCCGTTTCTATCGTCCTCCGAGATGTTCGCACTGTTCAGTGTGTGATAACTGTGTTGAGGTATCTGGTCACCAATATCACATTTTAATTTTACAGTTATAATTGTATCCCTAAAGAAAAGCCATTTTAATTGTCTTGATTTACCTCTTAGGATTTCGATCACCACTGCCCTTGGGTTAACAACTGCATCGGGAGAAGAAACTATAGATATTTTTTTCTATTTTTGGTTTCACTTACAACTCATATCATAAATGTTTTTGGATTTGGGTTAGTTTACGTTTTACACCATCGCGATGAGCTGGATACGCCTCATTCAGCTGTTACGTATCCTTTCATTAGAACTAACATCGTGCATTATAATATATTTATGTAAGATTATAAAACATTGGCGGTAGAGCTTTTCCTAAACGTTTCACCACAGTATGGCTGTGATGTGTGTTGCTGGATTATTTTTTGTGCCAGTTGCAGGTTTGACTGGATTCCACATTGTTCTGGTGTCTCGTGGGAGAACTACAAATGAACAGGTAAATACAGTTATCCACTTGAATTTTACATTATGATAAATTATTTGTATTCCTTTTGTAGGTCACTGGAAAGTTTCGAGGAGGTGTTAATCCTTTCACTAATGGCTGTATGAGGAACATTACATATGTGCTTTGTAGATCTCAAGCCCCACGGTGTGTAACTCCAGAACTAATTCAGAATAATTTTAATTAACTCTACAGTCTCCGATATAAACAAATCTGGGTTTTTTTATGTACTATTTCAATGTTTTTGTTCAACATAGATATCTGGGTCGTGCACATTGTCCACAAGAATTGGATATACAACCTCCCTTTCTTAGACCATCTCTTACTGAAGCCCAGCTTGAGGCAAAGGTCCTTGACAATGGGATACAGAATGACAGGCATAGATCTCAGGTAGGTGTCAATGAACAGCTTTGTAATGTATGTTATGTTTTCAAGTAATATGCATATGTCTAAATGTTTAAATGCTGTAGTCCAAAAGTAGTTCAGATCCAATAGAGAGCCAGTCAGCTGATGCCGAACCCCCACCTCCTCCAAAGCCAGATTTTCGGTATCCTGGTCTTCCCCGTGCTGACACAGAGGGTGAGATTGTCGCATGAATACATTTTTGTATTTTTGTATTATTTTTATTATTTTTATTTACCTTACATAATCTACATTTTTTTCAACTGTTCTTTACAGAGAGTAGTTTGCTGACAGAAGCGCCACCCACTCCTTCAATGTTCAAGTATAGACCTGCAACCAACAGCCCTGGGAGGAATCACATTACTCACCAAAACAAGGTACTCGCCAAACTGTAAAGTTACAAAATGGCAGTTTGCATTGAGAAGTTATTATAATGAAGTCAAGTCTGTTCCAAGAATTGCTATAAGCCTTCCAACATATACATGTGTGATTTGAACTGTATCTTGTACAAGCTTGTTGACCTTTTCTTTCATTTGTGGTTAACACACTGCCTCCTCTGTTTTGCTTTTATTTAAATAAATCATTCAGTGGCCATCGATTGATCAGTAAGTTACAGCCAGTGCAATTTCTGTGTTGACCTCTTTGACTGTGTGTTGGAGTTGATTTGTTCTTCCCACCAAGACTGCATTGACTGGAATGTGAAACTTGCGTAGTTTTGGACAGTAGCTGTACACCTGTGTTATGTCTCCCTACTTAGGGCTGGACTCCACTGACCACGTCTCTGTTCACGCGCTAGCCTTTTACGCACGTCAGACGTGCGTAAAACAAGAGGGTGGCCACACCGCCAGCTGCTGTGTTTATCTCTGCAGAAGCCATTCAAACTAGTGTGTGCGCGTTTGGCTCTTTATGACAGCTTTACAGTGGCAATAATGTCATCATCAGGCTGTATATAATGTCTGTATCTGATCAAGGCAAAGTTATTTTTAGTATTTTTAAGAACCTGGATCACTTCATACAGGATATTTGTCCCCCAGGGACATCTTGTGGTGGTTACGACTCAAATGCTGCGTCAAATGTTATTATGAATGGAAAGTGCACCCTACATCCAATGACATGGGTCCAAAGGATAATTTGAAGTCTGCGTGTGTCTCCCTCTCCGTGGACCGCTGCTGCTCCCTTAGTGCCAGCAATGGCTGACACCATTCTCTTTCCATGATGCTAACAAAAATTTGAGAGATTTTTGCACATACTGTAGTCTGTTTTATGCATTTGGTGGAGTCCAGCCCTTAGTCTTTTGGCATGCAGTGCCGGTATATGTTTAAAAACCAGTCAAGTGCAGTTATCTTACGAATGACCAATCACACGTCCAAGTCCCCTACCACCTCATTTTATGTTGCAGCCCAATAAACAAACATTTTATGAAATTATATTTCAACACACTCTTTCTCTGGAGTTTTTCATGCTGTATTATTCCTTTCAGATGATTCGTGGTGAAAGTTTGGGCTCTCCTTCACCAACTATCCTCCAGTCCAGTCGTCATCCAAGCTACCGCTCTGAGCCAAGCAGTCTGGATGGGGCCACAGTGGTGGGGGGAGGTGCAGGTGTGCGCAGAGGGGGAGGGGACAGAGGTGAGGGTCCTGGGAGCTCCGGCCTCCCTGCTGGTGGAGCCTCTGGCTACTCTCTGACTGGGCGCTCCTACACCTCCTACCCATCGTCTCTGGTCCTGTCCACGGGCTCGCATTCTTCCAGTCTCCGCTCCGCACACACAGCTCACAACCCTTTGGCCACCCTGCAGTCAGAAGGCACCACAGACACCAGCTACAAAAGCCTGGCCAATCAGACTCCTCGCAACGGCAGCTTATCCTACGATAGTCTGCTCACCCCTTCTGAGAGCCCAGAGTTTGAGTCTGCCGCTCATGAGTTGTCTCCACAGAAACCTTTTCAACCCTCGGGGGTCATGCTCAGAGGACAGACTGAGATGGTGTCCCCTGGGTGCCCCTTGCAAGGTTACACGTCCCCGTTTCTCTCGGCTCAAATAGCCCAGCAGAGGGAAGGCCAGCTGCTCCAGGGCTCCGCCACTTTCTCTTCCCCCCACCGAGCCTACCTGCGTGCAGTCAGCCCCACCCCTCCCTCCTCCTTTGGGCCCACAGAAGTCCACCCGCTCATTCACCATCGTCATCACCAGGACACTCGAGTCCTCCGCACACCCTCCTCCTCCTCGCCAGGGGTCCATTCATTAGACCCTCCTGTGTCCCCACCGCCTCGCAGCCTTTCCCTCGCCAAGTCCCAGGCCTCTCACACCGAGGGGGGGCACACGCACAAGCCTCGTCCCCCTGTGGGAGGTGGCACAGTGGGAGGTCACCAGGCTCCACTGTGAGTAGTGATTTTTTCCATTCCAGTCTGTCAGCTTGTGTCTCTAATGTGTCTCTTCTTTCTCTTTTGTCTGAGTCAGCCCTCCTCTTCCTCCTTAATTTGTGAGTCTTGTTTTCTACCTCTTGTGGCTGATTTCAAAGCATGATTGTAATTGCCAGTGTTGTGCCAGTTCACAGCTTTTATGAACTAGTTCAAGTTCAGTTCATACATGCTCAAAGTGAACAGTTCACGTTCAAAGTTCACATTTTTAATTCTGAACTAGTTCAAAGTTCAGTTCATTTTACTTTTTTCGTGAGATACTTAAATATTTTTTTCACACTACGAGCTATATATATATATATATGTATATATCTCCTGTACACCCACAGGAGGAGAGCCTTTTGACTACAAAACAGACAAGATTTACATGATTTTCAATGGGAGCAAAACGGAGTTGCTCCATCTCTGCTCATAAACTACAGACAGTAATGCGCTGCAGTGCGTGTGTCTATACTTTATGTCAAATGTAAACGGTGTAAACTTTGTCGCTAACTCACCCTGTGTTTTCATCACGACTCGGGCACATGTGAAAAGCACCAGCTCACAGCGCCACACCGCAACACGGAGTCGGGGTGCGTTCACAGACGGTGGAAACCGTAGGAATTTTTAGATTTCGGCGGAAAAAGTGCGAGAATACAGGAGGGAGGAACTTTCTCTCGTTGCGTTTCAAAAGAGAAAACAGATTTCAACGTTCATAGTGATGTTTGCCGTTCATGACACATAAAATGAACCAATTCACGTTCTAGTTCTTTTTTTAAAAATGTGTTGCGTTCAGTTCAACGTTCACGAAAAAATGAGCGTGTTCAATGAACGCGTACTTTTGAACTCGTTCACGCACAACACTGGTAATTGCTTATGATAGTCCTACAACTAGTGCTGCCTGCAACTAACCTTTATTCTGCTAGAATAGAATTTTTTCAACCGACCAGTGTGAATTGATTAATTGTGTTTTTTATGTGATTTGATAATTTAACATTTTGAGTTGATGAGTTTTTACTTCATCTCTATATTTTTTTGTGTTTGGGTCATAAAACCATTTGGTTTAGTTTGAGACATACTTTTTTCAATGTATAGAGCAGTTTAGTTGAAAGGGAGAGTGCGCTGCTGTTGGTTGGGTGTGCGAGTCAACTGCTCATCAGGATCCAAAGTGCAAAAAGCCCAATTTTAAAGGGAAAAAAGAGGGTCTGAGGAACAACTGACTTAAAAGTAAAAAACCTTTATTTACCGACGCGTTTCGACCAGGATTGTTTGCCCTGATGAAGAACTAAGTGGTCGAAACACGTCGGTGCTTGTGTTAGTAAAAGTTTTAGCGTTTCAAATTGTGTTTTAGGAGGCCGGTGATTGAAACCTCACCAATCAGTGAAACATTACTAGTGATTGCAAAGGAAGGTGATTGAGACTTCCATAGACAGAAAACAAAAAAGTCAACGTAACGATCAAGGTTGACCACAAACAAATATCTCCAAGGCTGAGCCAGAGGACTGCAGCACAATAACCAGCACATGGCATCTGCTTGAAAGACTTAATTGATCAATCTAACCCATGTTTGAAGTGATCAAGCTCATCATTCGTAGATGTTTTTTCATGTTATGTGTCTTTTGGGGCCCGTTTTTCTGCATTGTTACCAAATTGGTCACTCTTTATTTGTATCTCCCTCAGAAATATCCTTTTTGAATTTTGAAACACTACTTTGAACAGGTTTAAAGTGTAAATTCTTGAACACTTAAAAGACCATTTTTGTAAAATGCCTATATTTCTATCTCTGTTCCAGCTCATTCTTAAAACTTGTCCCCAACCCTATTTTACAGCAAGTCAATCGAGCCACTTGAATGGGGATTCAATAAAAACGACCTCTTTGGAGATATTATCTAAAGGGTGAATGGAAATGGTTTGTGAAATAGCCAGAAGGTGACACACAAAATGGAAATGCGGAGAATAGAATTACAAAAGAATGCATAGAGATGTTTGTCGTCATCCAAGCTACCGCTGCCTAGAAAGTGTCTGATTCAGGAGCTATTGCAACAATTGTGCAAGGATTAAAACAGTCAAAAGTGCATATATTATACTCGCATCATATTAAATCAATTGATTTTCTCATCCCTACTTGATGTTTCCTGGTCAGATCTGGCTCCCGCTCATTCAACCACACCTCATCAAAGCCTGGAGTGAAGAAGGTCACCGGTGTGGGAGGGACCACGTACGAGATCTCAGTTTAACTGGAGGTGACCTGTTTGCATCAAGCTGGGAATTCATTTGATGATGGCCTCAGATAAAGTTTTCATGGCTAACTGTGGTACTGACTGTAATGCAGTATTTTTATTATCACTGACGACGGTTGTTCCAATTAAAACGAGATTTGTTTGGGAACCATTGACTGATCACAGCGGTTCGATCAACATGGGAAATTATGCAGTACATTATCAGTGACGGGGACATGACTTTTATCAAGTGGAGGTAAAAGCAAAGGAAAGATGAAGACGGTTGACCAATCATCACCATTGTATCCAATATCTGTCATATTTTCTGTATATGAATGGACTGCAAAGCATTTATTTCTGTAAATGATCAAAGAGTCCTATCACATCATTTTGTAATTATTTTTCTACATGTATGACATCTGCTTCTTGGGTCAAAAGTGTGTTATCAGATAACATCTTGTGCAAGAGCGAAAAGTGATTTCTAATCGCCTGTAAAATGTTGATGGCTGCATCAGCCCAGTTTTGCTGGTATTCATGTTTTGGGGAGCTTTACATCTATTGTGGAAACGGAACCTAGTTCCAATCGCCCAAATACATTTTAGCACAAGGAACTTATGGAATGTATGTTTGTGATGCTGATGCTAAAACATTATGCAAAATGAATTTAAAGCTTTAAAATCACTCATTTGTTTTACATCATTTTTTGGTCCCAACACTAGCTGCAGTTTTTGCAAGGCCAGCCAAAAATTATACTGTATAAAGCTTAATATTTTTTATTTATTTTGGAAAAGACATTTTTTGTAAACAATTGACCTAATTTTACTTTGGTTTATTCGATTAGTGTATTAAGAAAATTCATAAAAGCTAAATCAAGCCACTTTATCCATAAATAGAAACTGGCCATTATGTAATTACTTTTGTATTATTTAAGAATTCTGTACTTTTATGTTTTGCAATGAGTTTTGTTGTATCATTTTACTTTTAAGGATTGTTTGCCTTTGTTTTTTCATGTTATAGGTACAGTTCATTTTATACACTGGCTTTTTAATTAAAATTTCCAGTAATTCAATTGGTGAAGTTTAGAGCTGGGCATTATTTTCTTTTATATAATTTGATTTGCCCACTACAGTGTTTGCGGTAGAATGTAAAGTATTAGCACATCTTTGGGGAGAGGGCATACCTTGCAGCACCCAAATACCATTTAAGCCAATTTTCTGTGTTTTTAGGCCTCTGAGCTCCTCTGGCTATTGTTTTTCTGAGCATGTAACTTTTCTTTGTTCTGAATGCTTAGTGGTAAGAATACTATCTGAAGTCTGTTTGTGTGGGTGGACGCATCACTAAAGGCACAAAAAGAAGCCATTGTGTGAAAATAAAACCTGTGTTATTCTTGTTTGAGAAAAGCATTGATATTGCAATTGTACGCTGTGATGACTGTTTCACAAATGTGTAACAAATACATTTCCAAAAAGGCCTTATGAATTTTTAAATGTCTCAAAATAAAAAAGGTCACAATGATCATGGGTCTTGGATGTTATATCAACACATTTATTCTTTCAAAAACCGTAAAATAGAAATTGCACATAGCACTTGAGACAAGATGGTCCCAGTCCTGAGTGGACAATCATATTAAAATGCAGCCACTTCATATGATACAAAATCACACACATGCTACAATCACACAGTTGGCATTTTGTTATTTTAGAAATTAAATAAAAAAAGACTCAAATGTTCAGGCACTCTGGCAGCAAATCTGCTCAAGATCACTGCTGTCATGTTATGATAGTGTAAAACGTTTGCATTTGTAATATAAAGGCCATACCGCTTTTAAATAACACTTGACTGATTACAGCAATCCAAACTCGTCACTTATCCTTCTTACTCTCTGAACCTTCAGTCTCGTTTCCCATTTCAAGCTCATTGCTGTCCTCCTCTGGCTCCAAACCGTTTGGTCCATCTTCTTTCAAGCCACGACCTTTGTTTAACTTCTTGGATTTTTGAAAGATCTCGTTTAGGTTAAATTCTCTGATTATGTTTTCCTATAAAACAAATAACGTTGTTACAAAGTAAACACATTTGTTGTATTTTTTTCCCTATCACCTCAGTAAAAGTCCAAGATACGGCTCTTCCTTTGTTGTCAACCATTGGGCGTCTCATGATCTCACATCCTCCTTGGAATAGGACCAATGTTGGGAGCTGCTTTGCCAACGGTGACGTGCTAATCTTGTTCCTGTTCAATATACCGCATATAAAATCTCAAATCTACTTTAGACGTCATGGCATAGTCAACCAGAACAAAAAACTAACTTTTCAGAAACTTCTCCATAGCGACCAATGTCAACTTTACCAAATCGAAGTCCTGCACAGTTATATCTGCAAAAATACCAAAACTTTGATCAAAATGTATAAAGACAAAAAGTAAAACTAGATCAAAAGAACGTTCCTACTTGAGAGAAAGTTCTGCAAAAACAGGAGCAAAGGATTGGCAGTCGGCCGACCAGTTTGCATAGAATTCAACAATCCATGTGACACGACCGTCTCGGTTCAGCTCCTCCTAAAAAGGTTGATACTAACAGTCAGGGCATTATGACAGGTAGTTATAACAATATTTTCAATATGTGATTTCACCTACATCTATAGTCTGCTCATTGAAGTATTTGATATATTCTGGTCCCATGTAGAGAGGCGGCTTACAGGTCATCACAAAAGCTGTGAGAAATATTGAGTCAATATCTTCATAGTTCGACAGTTCAATGAATACTATTTCAGTTTGAGGCTTGTTGTTGTGACATAAGGCTCCATAATGACAAGCGACTGACCAAGACAGATTACAACGTAGAGAATCCCAAGTCTGATGTCGAGTCTGAACAGCAAGATGACATTTGCCACTTTGCTGAAAAGGAAAATGTTTCCAATGTGCTGCTCCAGAGTAACTGTCAAAGAAAGGATGTGTTTTGTTATGCACTCATTTTTACTCAACTTTTATTTTAATTTCAACTGCAACCTACATGTAATTATCCAGTAACATTTTAATTATTATTTCATTGTTAATTCACTTGAGATCCAAAAACACATGTATCTATAATGTAAAGTTATGCAGCTCAGATCTGATGCCACAGACGTCAGGATATAGGCTTTTGCTATTCATCATCATCATCATCATCATCATCGTCATTATTATCATTATTATTTATTTTGATCAGGTTCAGGATTTGTAGAACAATGCATTCACAGATCGGGGGTTTGCCGGCGCCTCCACCAGGCTGAGCATGTGAACCTAAACAACTCTTGTTACATATCTATTACATGAAAATAAGAGTTGTAACTCTTTTTCACTAGATTTCTTTTGGTTGATGGTGTCACTCAAGAGAAGGTCTCTTGATTGATTGTTGCAGCCCGACTTATAATAAGGAAAGATCTGTTTACAAAATGAAACAAATTATTTCTGCATTTGAACATAATGTGTCCCAGGCTGAGCTCTGTCAAACTGGGATTACCTGCAGGGGTGTTTGAAGTCCAAACAGACACACACGCATTGTAGTAGCCTATAGTTTACACATAAACCCTTGTTTGAATCCTGATGTGCACTTACTGGCTCTCCTGTTTTTCATCATCACAATGGCACAAAGGAACATCATTATCTCCCATTCTCTCTACAAAAACGTAAAAACAACTAGTTATTATTTATTATTATTCAAAAGTGATTCACACAGCAAATGTCAAACAAAACAAACACGGCACGAAAGAGAAAATATAGTTCTAAAGAATTGTCATATGAATGCAAGATTCAAATATTTTAAGTGCCTTAAAATACAAATAACGATCATTATATACTAAAACACAAAAGACAGACCAAAAATAAAACAGAAACCAGGGCATAAAAACGGCACTTGTGAATGTAATGTTTAGTTAACAATATAAGATTATTAACATCATATTCAGTTAAACGAAATACCAAACATATATGATAAAGGAGCTCAGGGACGCAGAGAACATTCATATTTTTAAGGGCAGGCTCAAGACACACCTTTTTAGATTAGCTTTTGATTAGTATTTATTCTTTATTGCTAGTGCATTTTAGTCCATTTATTTATCTATTTACTTTTTTAATTTGATCTATTTTGTCATTTACTATTGTTATTATTAATTTTAGACAGCTACCATTTTCTTTTTAGTCTCACATTTTAATGTTGTATTGTATTATTTTAGTATCCCCAGTGTTTCCTCTGGAGGAGCCCTCTGCACGGGGGGCTGGGGTCTGCTGTGGCTGCGGGGGTCTGGCTCTTGGGCCTGGTGGGGGTCTGGGGCCTCCTCTCTCCTCTGGATCCTATGGGGGTCTGACTCCTGGATCTGGTGGGGTCTGGGGCCCCCTCTTTCCTCTGGGTCCTGTGTCGTTCCCCGCGGCTGCAGCCGGCGCTCTGCTCCTGGTGCAGATGGCTCCTTGGATGGCGCTTCTTCATCCGGTTACATCTGCACCCAGCCCTATATCTTTCCATAGTTCTACCTATTTTACCTTTATGTTGTGACTTTACATGTGCCTGTATGTGCCTGTGTGTGTGTGTGTGTGTGTGTGTGTGTGCGTGCATCTGTATGTCTGTATACATGTGGATGTATGGTTATTAATAAATGTGGTTTTGGGTGGGTCTGTGGGGCAGTGGGGTTTAGGGGTGGGCATCTTGGATTGTTTTTAACCAAACTGTAAAGCACTTTGTGTTACATTTTTTGTATGAAAAAGCGCTTTATAAATAAAATTTGATTTGATTTGATAAATAGCTAAACTTGGAAGTAGAATTCCTTCGATCCGTATCCCTCTTTGAAAGTCAAACCAGAATGTCTGGACAGATTCACATTATTTAAAAAATTATCTAAATCCTCTGTTACCGTGTGACAGAATCCACATTTGTCCACATCCAATTTAAATCTGGACCTTAGGAATTCAATAGTTGGATAATCCTATTTATAAATTTGAATTGAAATCCTTTATTCTCGAAAGGGAGAAGCTATTTTAAATATAGTAGCGGCTCCAATAGGGAACCCTATCCCACCACCATGCGGCCACAGGAGACTTCTGTGACTTACCCAGTCAAGCTCGCAAGAGTTGCCGTCTTCTCGTTGCGAAGGCAAGTGTTCACAAAGTCCAGGCGCTTTTCGCACGGCAAGAAACGTAACCGTCAGAAGAAACGATATAATATAATACGGCTTGAGCAGCCATTTATAAATTTGTGGGAAATGGTATAGAAACGAAACGATGCCTGTGACTAGCCCCATGTTGACAGACGACAGCCGGTAAAATGACAGCTGAAGTTACCACGGCTGGCACATGGAATGATATAGCTACAACTAGAGAAAACACGTGTTGTTTTCCCGTCTCAAGATAGGCGGCCATCTTACGTGTTGAATGTGAATATGAGTACTAATAAAATTAATAATAATGTATACAATTTGATGGTGTAACGGCCATTTAAAGATTTATGTGTATACCAATATTTTCCCGAACTATTAAAACTATGAGTAAAATAGGATACTATATTTTAAGCAGAAAATATAACAATTTAAAACAAGTATTTGAGATTTAAAAAACTGTGTATTGCTCTAGTCTGCTGTACCTGCTCTTCTAGGTACTGGAAAATATTGAGTTAGTTAAATGCGCATGCGCCATAAGAGTTGCCATGTTATTTTTTTTGTTTTGTTGCGGCATTATCTATTTTAGGAAAGCCCAACGTCGCTGGCAAGATGTGAGAGTCAATTTTGTTTTTTACTTGATCCAAAAATCTCTTTTATAATCTATATAGAGCACTTTTCTTTGGGTGGGTATGTCGTTCAGATTATTGTTTATTTATTTTGTTATTTTTTAAGACGCGTGGTCGCTGGTTTCTCTGACAACCTGGCAACCACACTCCGCTCTCCGTACTTGTGGCGCGCAAAGCAAAACATAAACAACAGAAACGTGAAGAAATGGAGCAGCAACAAGACGATTCTCCTCAAGACACAGAAAATGAGACAAATACGCAACAAAAAACACGCAAATCTGTTGAAGCGTCCAGCGAGAATGCTACCTCAAGCTCAGAGAGTAGCACGACGACCGAAGAGGCGACACCAGCTAGTTTTAGCCGGCTTAAGCTGTTCGAAAAAGTGATGCAAAAAAGTTTAGAAAATGTTATTGAATTTGCCAGGTATTGTGCAATCAATGGATTTATACTGTTAGAAGTGGCATCTTTGTGGTTTACGTTGTGTTTAATTCTGCAGTTTCAAGAGATTCGTTAGCACCTTCCGGCCACTTTACAAGAAAAACCCACAGCGTATGGAAAACATTTATAAGCAATTTATCGAAGAACTAAAGAAAGCCATTCAGGTATGTCATACTTTATATCAGTAAGATCACTACATTTTATCTTTGTTGTGTTGTTGATTGTGTTTTTTTATAGGAGGACATAGTCAGATTGATTGAAGAAGGACGCTTGAAGACAAAACTTGATGAACTAGATAAACTGGAAAAGGCTTCTAAGAGTAAAACCCATGCATGGTAAGTGAAGTTCTCCTAAATATAATCAGTTTGGTACACTGAGCTGCCACAGGCGCAGCAGATTTGGAAATATGCTGTTGCCACTTAAACTTTGATTAGTTTGAGTGTGTTTGGGTAGAAATGCATTTAAGTGGCTCTATTTAGATTTAGAAATAATAAGAACCAGACTCCCTCTCTCACTTTCCTGTTTTATACACTGCACGACTTTGCTAAATCTTGCCCAGTCCTACACAATGCAGTGTGGGAAATGAGACTCAGTTTGTATCTCCTTAGTCCCCTGCTTTCTGGTTTAGAAGCACACTTTGCAGGTGGCTTTTTGGAAGTAAATCTACACTTTTTGTTTAATTGTATTTTATTAAATTGATGTTCAATTTTATGGAGCAAATGCAGAAGACTATTTTTTGCTATAGGGACAATAAAGTACAATCTTTATCTTTGTTTTTAAAAACAAGCTTATTTTTGTTAAAGTGTGTGTTGTAGATTTATAAATCCACTTATCCATTTCTCTCTGACATTTTGTCTCTAAGGCGTCCCTCTGGAATACCTGAACAGGACCTTTGCAGTTTTCTGATGCCATTCTATCAAAAACAGGAAGCCTACATGAGACTTGAGCTTAAAAAAATCCAAGCTGAAAATGCTGCCCTAACAAAGAAGGTGCTGGCAGGAAGAGAGCGTATTTCTCACTCTGAGCAGCATATTTCAGAGGTTGTGGAAGACTGGAAGGTAAGTATTAAACATGTTTGTGGCAGCCCTATTACTCTCAGCATCTCCTTTTGAAGAGGGTTTTTTCCCCTAACTGTTACATTATGTGTTATCGTTAAATAAGCAAACATACTGTTCATATCATAACCCACATCATCAATATGAATTAATTGAATCCTTGACTCTCATCACTGCTGAATTTGTCTTGATTATACAATCAGTATTCCAAAATGTAGAATGGCCTGGCTAGTAAGGCAAGCTATTGGTGTGTTGTGAGATGATTTTTTTTTTTTTCCTTCACAGGCATCTTTGAAAGAATCTGAAAAACTGGTATCTTCCCTCAAGCCTGACATTATTGAAGCATGAACTATATAAAGACGTAAATTGCTGTGTTTTAAATAAAGGTGATGGTGTTGATTTGAGTATACATTGTTGATTTGGTTTATCATTGCTCCTATGTGTACATTATTTACAACTATTTTAATATAAATCTGTTACATAAATGATGTCTATTTGTCTCCATATTATTTATTAAAGGTGGGTAAATTTGCTCCAATTGTGCTTTGATTCTAAACGTTGGAAACCTGTATTAAGATAAGGCGAAACACACTTTCTATGGGACAGAATTATGAAAAAGAATGCTCTAAAATTCTCAAAGAAAAGAAAGATAACACATAATGCAGCTGTTTGAATGTGTGCTGGGATAGCGTATCAATTTAATGATCAATGTTAATTGACGTCAGTGACTTGTGCAAAACACTGTCGCTACGGTAGCTCTGCGCATCATGGTGCGCATGTACAATCAGCAGTACGGGAACGGGGCGACAGACAAAACCTCTCACGGCTTTGGACGAGACACCCTTTGACTGTTTCTCTTTTAGAGAACACATTTCCATCGTTAAATATGACAGAAATGTTTTCAACACTCTTTGGTCAAAGTGACGCCCAGGGACCTCCGGGCTCGGGGGCTTTAGGGTTTGGATCGGGGAAACCTCCACCGCCTCTGCCGCAAAGCCAAGTGTCTTTGTCGGGTCAGTTGCCACCACAGATCGGGGATGAAGGGCCCATGTTACGAAAGCCCGGAGCCTCAAATGAGCCATTTTACCTACTGCGGGATTTACCTGGTAACAATTATTCCGGAATTATTTATTTGTATATGCATTTTTTCCTTGTTCTCATTGGATAGACTAAAACATCAGGCAAAGGCGGATTGTAAACAAATGCTAGCTTGTTAGCATATGTTGGAAATTAGCATCACGTAACAGTAGCATGTATGGGTAACTTTTTATTACTGTATCGTACCATTCTGTTAATCTGTTAATGATTTATTAGTCCCAATGTGTTTGGTCCGTCTAATGAACAGGATATGTGTCATTCTGATAAACACAAGTTAACTGAATGGATTTGAAGTAGCTATCTAGCTACTTATGTTTTCTCTTTTAACTTGTTTCTGTGTCGTTTAGTTGGAAATGAATTGACAGGAAACTCTAATCTCATCACACACTACAACCTGGAGCATGCATACAACAAATTCTGTGGGAAGAAGGTGAAGGAGAAGCTCAGCAACTTTCTTCCAGAGTTACCAGGTAGATAACCACGAAGTTGTTTTTCCACAGCTGTAGGCCAGACTTGTGAATAAACCCCCCCACTGCTTTAGCAGTATGTAGAGAAAGCAGAGTTGGATGAGCAAATATACTATTGTAACAAACAATAAGTCAGCTGTTTAACAGAACTAACTACATAAGTTGCATCAAATTGATTTTAAATGTATTCTTACCATTCTGTTTTCTGTAGGCATGATTGATTGTCCGGGCACACAAGATGGCAGTTCTTTGAGGTCGTTGATTGATAAACCTCCTGTGTGTGGAAATTCCTTCAGCCCTTTGACTGGTGCACTTCTCACAGGCTTCAGGCTCCACACAGGACCGGTACAAAAAAGAAGAACACCGTCAAATGATGTGAGCCATGTGTTCTCTTTGTTGACGCTGTACTGTCTTTGCAGCTCCCAGAACAATACCGTCTAATGCACATACAGCCACCCAAGAAGAAGAGTAAACACAAGCACAAGCACCACAGACTGCAGGACCCACTACCTCAAGGTACAAGTGTTAAGACACTGCACTATATGGACATTAGACCAGTGCACTCAACTTTTGATATTTTAGAAACGCCATCAGACTCAGATCCCAAAAAGAAGAAGAAGAAGAGAGATGATGATCCAGACCGCAAGAAGAAGAAGAAAGATAAGAAGAAGAAAAAGGTAAGATTTCTCATCTCATTAGTAAGGTACATATTGGTTCTCGACCAATGCTAAAACAATCGCTAGCTCCATCACTAGCTCCATACTCAAAGTTGACAATATTTTATGTGGTGTAGATCATCACATCACCTGATTACAATGATACATGGTTTAAACTTTAAAGCATTTATTTTCAATAAATGGATTAAAAAAAATTGACCAAAAAGTTACCGTCCTTTTTTAAAGATTTTGGGTAATAATACATATTAATGTTTTTCAAACCCATTCCTGTCTACCCCAAGATTGAAGTTCTCTGAGCTTTAACAGTGGGCCACTTTAAACCTTCACTGGGAAACAAAACATCTGTATTAATACAGTTTGAATTCAGTATTCAGTCACGAAAAAGACGAGAACCTCCTCAAGTCTTGTAAGTCAATCTCTGTAACATTATTCTTGTGTATTGTTTTTATATGACCATAAAATATGCACCACTAGGGGTCGATCATGAGTCGTACTGAGTTGAATGTAGCAATGAAATGAAATGATGACGGAAGCCAGTGCAGAGCTGGTTATTGTGGTCATACTTCCTGTTTCTGGTCAAGACTCGAGGTGCAGTGTTTTGGATATACTGCAGCTGTTTAATTGCACCTTTGGAAAAACCAGCAAGTAGGCCGTTAAAGTAGTCTTGCCGCCTGGAGACATGTAGGAGACAAATGCATGTAAATATAGTTTTTCATTATGAAAAGCTACACTTAACAAGCTCCAACAGCTTTGTTGTCTGAAGTGAAGCTGTCACAGAAAGAGACTCCATTGTGCTCATCTATTTTGTTTTTTGGGTGCTTTGAAACATTTAGTTGTATTTCTGCCTAAATTTACACATTATAATGACCGTGTCACTCAAAACCAGTCCAATACTCTTGATGAAAGATTAATTCTCGCGAGAATGTGAAATGTAGTCACAATTATAGTAGACCTATTGATTAGTACTTTATGTCTGGAGGATAATTTTAAAATGTTACTCTTCAAGTATATTTTATATTAGTTGTTTTAGAAGAGCACATGTTCGTTTGTTATCCTTCTAGAATGTACATTAGTGTTGCTGTTTCTAGTGGTTGGCCGATGTGGTTTGTTTAGGCCCAATCTATTCATATCAGTTATCAGCTAGGAATAGAACTAATTTTAATTTGCTTGAATTTATCCCTTGTGCTATCCTTGAGGAAAATGTACCCTCAACAGTGATTGGAAAATATCCTAAATAACTTGATCAGCCCTGGGTTATTTAGATCCTTTTAGACACTAAGATGAATGAATTTTCTTCTACTTTTGGCACAAGGAGCACAAGTGAAAATATTGGTGTTAAAATAGTGAATAATACTTATTCCATCTGAAGCACTGTAAGCAAACTAGGTGTTATGTTTAGTTCAGGTGTATCATTATTTGAACTAAACTAGTACTTTCACATGTAAAAAAAAAAAAGAAAATATTTTCAAGTATTTTTTTTGAAAAATACCAATTAATTTGTGTTTGTTTTCAGAATCGCCACAGTCCTGATCACCCCGGTCTCACTGGCTCACAGCCAAACAGCAGCAGTCTCAGATGAAACCATCTCTATGTACATATGTATAGTGTAACTTTGCATTTTATAAGTGTATTTTACAAATAAATGTATTATAAATGACATTGTAACAAAGCCAAGTTTGCAACAGATGTAAGATTGTGGATCATGGATGGACATCAAGTGTGGAGTGTGAATGAACTGAACCTGAGGATTTTATGTTCAAAGAAACATAAACTGGCGTTTTCATATTCTGTAAATATTTTTTTCACGACAGATGTTTATTTAAATGTGAAATACATTAGCCATTGAGCTTGATTAAATATTTAATAGAAATGTTCTACCAATTCCTAGAAAGCTTCATTATTATGGTTTAATATGCATATGGCAGTAACAGACATGTATCAACCCACAACTTCAAATATTAGCACACGATTTACAAAAAGTAGAAACTATAGTTATCTCATATGCAGATTTAAGCAACAAGTAGTATTTACAAACAGTCAAGCAGAAATGGGTTCCTATTGTTTGGGTCAATACTATAACTACACATATCCCTTTAATAATAAAAAAAAAAAAAACTTCAAATAGAGGTGCCCACATTTCTATTGTCCACGCATTAGTAGGAAATGTAAAATATAATACTCCATATATCCTGCACTCTTCAAAAAAGTATTATCCCCCCAAAAAAGTCCTTATTTCCTTGTTTAAACGCCTAGGGGCAGATCAAAATTGTCTAAAGCCAATGATTCTGAGAATAATAACAAGCATGAAATATCTGGTAGACAAATGGAACAACAAAGAACGTAATAAGGAGGTAGATGTCTGGTGCCCTCAAGCTTCAACGTCATGATGTCTTTGTCTTAGGCGGCACGGTGGCTGAGTGGATAGCACTCTCGCCTCTCAGCAAGAAGGTCCTGGGTTTGAATCCCGGTCGGGCCAGGGCCTTTCTGAGTGGAGTTTGCATGTTCTCCCCGTGTCTGCGTAGGTTTCCTCCGGGTACTCCGGTTTCCCCTATCACTAAAAATCTGTACAATAGTTCTGGCGTTCCTGTACTGGCGAGCCCGCTCCCATCTCTGTGTGGAGTGAGAGACAAATGCCCAAAAATAACAATTGTAAACCGCTTTGTGACTCTGGTCTGTGAAAGGCGGTATATAAATAAAGATTACTTACTTACTTCAAATCTGTATTTGAAGAAGTCCTAGGTTTGCGGTACAAAAACACAAAGAGGAAATTACAGAAACATTGAAATTCATATATCATGGTTCTTTGGTTTCATGTGCTGTTGGGTCTGCAAATGTATCAAGTATAATGAGATCCATAGGATGAGCGAAATGTATGGCTTAAAATCACTCTTCTTTTGGCTCCTGGATCCAAAATAAATAAATAAACACCTTCACGAGTCACAGTGCAAGTGAACATACAAATACAAAGGCAATGTTTAAAAAAAAATAAAAAGGGGTTTAAAGGTTCTGTTGTGGATTAATCCTATGTTTCGCTTTCTCCAACTCAACATTGACTTGCATTACGCCTCCACAGCAGCGTAGCCGTTGGTGTGCGGCTTGTGGCCATTGGCCGCTGTGTGGTTTAGAGCCTCCATCTCTTGGCCCAACTGTTTGTCTCTGGATTCTTTCTCCTTCAGTAAATGACGTCTATGGTAAAACAAGTATCCCGGCAACAAGAACCCAGCCAGGGAGAAGATTAACAGGCCGAAATTGATCTAAAATAGGCAGATAATGATTACTAAAATGACAGTTCTGATAGAACAACTGCAGAAGTATACATACCCAGTATGCATTTCCGTGCAGTGGTCCCACCATCGCAATGAAGAGTGGCTGCTGTAGGAGAGCGATCACAGCACTGATCATGGACTGAAGACCTGTCAGGGTCCCAAAATGGTTGGACGGGTACCTATGAGAGGCAAAATCAATTAAATCAATTAATTAGATACATATTTGAAATGAATCATATTTTAACATAAAACAACGAGATACCAACTAACCAAAAAAACTTTCACACAAAAAACAAATCACCTTAATTCTACATTAGATTGAATTTGTGAAGCAGTATTTTACTCACACGGCAGCGTAGAGACCTCCACAGCACGAGTGAATGAATCCCCGAACCATCGTATGAAGGATGAATGTCAGAATCTATAGCAGAAGTTTATTTAGTTGTTTTGAACTAGCGTTGTCGTGTTGAAATGTGTGTAATTATACGGCACCTGGAGCGGAAGGTTGTCAATGAGACAACAGACTCCAAAAACAAGCAGGAGCAAGTTGGTGATGATGAAAGCTCTCATAGCATTGGTGATTTTCTGGATCTTGCGGTCTCTGTTGGGTACACAGCTTTGACTGAGGGCACAAAACAATATAGTAAGCCACTCGGGGATATTACACTACTAGTACTTAAATATTCTGTCAATGAATCACAGTACCTCTTTCCAGGGGTTTTTGTTTCATCTACACATTCTTTCATCTTCCAGTCCATAATATAACCAATCAAAGGACAAGTAACAAGGCAAAGAAGCTGCAGAGTGCCAAAAATGGACGAGTAGAAGCCCACTAAAAGCATTGGATAACAGTTTATTTAGACACTTGTGTATTTTGTATTTTAAAACTATTAGACCTACCTTTTTCTGCTGACTCAACAATAATATTCTCAGATGCTACAAATACAAAAACGTTGAGTTAGAGAGTTAGCATAGTTCTGTTTTATTTTTACATTGTATATATATGATTATGGACACTTACGGTGTTCCTGTCCGTGTGTTACCATATACTCAAGCATCTTATTCATTGCACCCATGAAAAAGATGATGCGTAGCTGGGACATCCCCATTGTCACAAGACTCCAGAGGAAAATAGGGGAGAAGACAGATTGGCGGAACGGCACATTTTCTGACAGAAGTTAGATTCATTAATAAAAAAGCTTTACTTTGAAGTATATTAAGTATGGTCTGCATACGCACTGGTTGCAGAGTCAGAGTTTGTGGTGAGTTTGTCTGTAGAATGATGGTGAACATCTCCATTCTTTTCATGTAGTTTCTGTTCATCTGCTTTTGTGTCAGAGAGTGGGAGTTCTTTTGCTGTCAGAATCTTGCTATTAACCATCAGTTAGGACATAGTCAGTTTTACATGAATAGAAACAAGATGTTAAGAGGAAGGTTTTTTACCTATAGTCCACTTCATCAGGTGTTGGGAATCCTTCTATGGGCCAATTGAGGAAGCAATTGACGAAGACAAAGCCTGCGAGTCCTGCCCATACCCACATGATCACATGAAAGGTCACGTCGGCATCATATATGAGCTGGAACGATGTAAAAACAAAACATAAGTTATCGAGATATTACTTTGCGTTGACCATCTACGGTTTGCTACCTTAACTCCAGGAAAGGTGACAGCTGAGGACGCATAGGAGCCGATCATCAGAGACATGATTGTGGAGCTGAGAGCCCCAAACATGTTCGGAAGCTGCAAAATAATGACGTGTAAATTGACAGGTTACAACAATTATCCATAGTGCAATTAGGAAGTAGTGATACATAAGTGTGTGTTTGTGGTTTGTCTGGTCCAACAGAGGGCAGCCTGCTCCCGTCACAATAGGTCAAACTAAAAACCTGAGCTGTTCCTTCCCACCGAGTCTGCACTCATTAACCCATGTCTGCCACCACACGGCTCATTAAATAAATATTCGTTTCCATGTCAAAGTCATGGTCCAGTTTCATTAACCTTACTCATTCAAACCTCTCTTAAACACAATACAACCATGATTTTTTGCCGCGTCAACGAATTCATAAGATTAAAAACTACAGGTTTTAAAAGCTATACGTTACTTAAAGAATGGACACCGCACCAGGCACTAGCAAGTTTAACCTATTTCCAGTAAAGTAGCTTAACATTAACACAATGACCATTTGTGTGGTTTTTATTACACATTTTAAATGGGTCAATATAAAATCACATGTGTGGGATTGTGATGATTCTGTACGTTTTGCAAACTCTTACAGCAGCTAATCTCTTTTTTTTTTTTGAGCATTTGTCACCCCAAGCTACACTGACATTTGACAGCTTTGGAAAAAAGTCAGCATAAATTAAAGCCCTGGAAACAAAGTTATTTTATCGTATAACTAACACTGGATATATTGTCTTCAGTCAGAAGAACGTTTTGAAGGAGCTGCAATTGCCCATTGCAATAGCAGCTCTGGTCAAGCAGATAAGGTGATGACAGTTTGTTACTGAGTCTGTTTTAAATCCACAGAGATATTTAAGGTCACTTTGTGCTAAAAACACCTGGTTTTAGTTAAGAAGTACAGTATACTGCTGAGGGTGGGCTGGGGCTCACGTGTGTTGTGTTGTAAAGTTCCTCTGCCTACTACTGGCCGGGCGCTAGAACTACATAGTTTTTGATCCTCGTATCAACGCTGTGAAATTTGCATAAGGAGCCTGGTCGTTTCTGTTAATAGCTTGGAAACGTCTGCGCAGCGCCTCCATATAAACTGGGCCTTGTCTTTCCAGAGAATGTGTGAAATAGGGGGAGCACATCTTCCGAGTAAGTGCTCTTGTTTCCACGAACAAAAATATTTCACACGTGGCACTGACAATGTTAGACTCAAGCCCCTCATCTGAGGACACGTTGCTCATTCTCTTTAGCTGAAGATAGCACCGAGAAATGGAATAAGCATTCAGATGGCACATACTGTATGCAGTATGTGCACGAGGTCCACATGCAGTCAGATATTCAACACATGCAAAGGGTAACATAGAGATGAGGACTCTAACATGTGAGTCACACCTGGGTCAAGTGAGAGTCATAAAATACCAATAATTTTATAATCAGTTGTCATTTTGAATGAAGTTTCATGCCTGCTGCGCTCATTCACCAGGGAAACATAAGCCTTTAATTAAGACTCTAATCACTAAGTTAATCGGGTGAGATTGTGCCATAAGACCTATGCTCAGCACTCACAATTTTAAACTGTTTTTTACTTTTAAACTGAAATTTTGAAGAAACTATCAAAGGATTTTTAACATCTTACTGAAGTCAGAAGCACGGATGACCAAAGCTGTCCAACATAGAACATTTTTCGTTTTAACACATTCCACTGCAGTACATGTTGGGGACATTTAAAAATGTTGTGCAACCAGTTGATCAAAACTGGATGAGCCAATAATAAATGATTTTATATGAAGTCCCAGTGTTATTCAAAGAACATTAGAGAAACAACTGTGATAGGACAAAACAAGGGCAGGTGACCATCAATATTTTAGATACAGGAGAGTGGGCGGTACTTTCCTGAGGGTGTGTAACCAACCCCGACTTTTCATTGGTGGAAACACAAATAGGGAACTTTCCATCTGGGCGTCATGTGCATAAGGACACATGCTGTACAAACAAATAGTACATTTGGAATACTTGGCAGGACACAGAATGAGACTATACATGTTGATCATGTTGGGACCAGCTGGCACTGTAGCACATGCCTGATGGACAAGTAAACAAATAATTTCATCAGCTGAAACTCTCAGCATATCAGCTACCAAAAGCCCCCAGCCATTGTCCCAGGAACATTTTCTTGGAATGCATGGAAAGTTATGTAATCCTGTAGCGCGCACTTATTACATTTTACTTTAAGTTGCACTCATCCACCTGAGTAAGCTCTAACATGACTGAACTCAGAGAAAAGAAGATCCTGACAAGATAGCGCAGTTGATTGAATTTCTTACCGTGAGAGAAGTGAATGTCAGACAAATTCCCCCAAAGCCATTTAGGGAGAGAGCCAAAAATATAAGTGCTGACAACTCTGCAAATAAAAAAGATTGTTTTTACTTATTTTTCATGACCATACCATATATGAATGCTATCCACAACAGAACATTGTGTTTCTTTGCCTCAGGTAACTTACTGTCAGGGTCATAGGTGGACACAGCCATGATGATGCATGATAGACCGAAACAAAAACTGTAAAGTAAAACAAATTGTTAAAGTATTTTTTCAATAGTCTATAAGCGAGACGGCATGTGTGTTTATATAATTTTAAAGCAACATTTTGCACATCACATATTACAACTGCCTACTTAAGTGGTTCTACAGTAGTTTTATCAACAACCTTCATGATCTTTAATAAGTCATTAGGTTAAAGAAGGTTAAAAAAGTCACACAATGGGTGTGACTTCTGTTTGCATAATGATTCATGAAATTGAATCTCACTAAGGGCATGTTTTCTTTTGCCAGTTAATAACTATAACAAACACTTTTCTTTAAATATTTGCAGAAGTAAAAAAAAGAAGAGAATACAGTAGCTTTCTGCACAAGACTTTACCTGCCCATAAGGCGAATGGGGCGTGGCCCAAATCTATCCATAAGAATGCCAAGAGGTAGGGTGGTGGCACTGAGCAGGAATGAACCTATCGTGAAGCCCAGGTTTAGCATCTCCTCCTGGTCTACACATGTGAGCCACTCTTCTGAGTCTCCAGTGGAGGTATTGCCCAAATGCACAACTACGGAATCATTACCTGTAGAGAAACAAGGATCTAGTATTATTCTAATGAAGCTTGTTCATAGCTATCAACTCGGACAGACATACCGGTGCAGAGGTGAGAATAGAAGCCTTCCCTTTTTAACATGATAAGCAGGGAACCCCAGCCTAGAAGAACAGCGGAGCAGAGCAGGTTCTCCAGCACTGCAGTCACTGCCATCCACCAGCGCCTCCTGTACGCCTGGACCAGAGATGGTGCCATCTCTGTTCTGTGGAAACAAATTATAAATCTATTTTCACTGATTCTTTGGCCAGTTATTTGAGAAGCACTCAATGCTCAACAAAATAAGCAATAAATACATCTTTCAATCATTCTACAAATCTATAGCCCTGTAAACAAGTATGCTAGGTGTGATTCAAAACCTTGTGACCCCTTTGATGGCATTATTTTGTTACGATGACCAAATACAAATACAACTTACCAGGTGAGAGTGACCCTGACACTCTAGGACCCTATCTGTCCCATTGGCTCTAAGGGCAAAAGTTATTCGTTGGCAAAGAGGGCACCTGGAGTTTCAAGAAGAAAGTTATTTTAATGAGTGTGCCCCTGTTGGAAGGCTGAGAGGACCTAATAGGACCTACTTGTCTCTGCGTGTGCTCATGTGCTGTGTGTCTAATACAATTACACATACTCCAGCGAACAGCCTTTGAGCTGAAGCTGGGTCAAAAGAAGGATTTGTCTGTGTAATTGAGACCTCATTCTGAAAATCCACTTAGGACTTGTACCCAACCAAGTCCTTCCCTCACCCCCACAAAAAAGTATAATAATGGTAATTACACTAAATGGTTCACAAAAGGCTTTAGAATAAGTATAGGAGAGGTGACAGTGTTTCCCACACATAGACTAATCTGTGGCGCACCGCCACAGATTAGAGACCGCCCGCCACAAATTGCGTTTCGTATTATTATATATATATATTTTTTGTTACGCTATTTAAAACATGCATCGTCTAGTGCCGCCGCAGCGGTCAATTTGACAGCGGGGAGGGGGGTTTAAAATGTGGCGGCCCTTCGTAACTCTCACTCAAGCTACGCGTCTCTCCCACATACAGAGACCTACACACACACAGCCCCTCCCCTTCGTGCACACCGCGTGTCTCCGTCTCCATCAGCGATCATCGCTGTAAGCAGCTGTGTCTATTAATTTACCGCGGTAAAGTGGCCCGCATCTTTCAGCTCTATGAACATGCGGCCCGCATCGGGAAAAGACGGTGCGCGTTTTGTTGAGAACTTACGGTAACAGCGGAACGTCCTTTCGGAGTCACCCATTTTTATCGAACAGAAAGCGCGCTGGGGTCAGGGAGACACGTTTTTGTGATTAAAACCTTATAGAGATGCCACCCGGCACACATAGCACCAGCCCCCTACGATTCCTCCGGCAGATTGTGAGTCCTCAGGAGGATAGCCACTCTATTGTTTACATGTATAAAGTACACAATTTGGTCCGCTAGTGCAATTTTCAAGTATTGTAACTATTTACTGGAATAAGGTGTGCGACTAATTTCACTTGACTCATGACCTTATTATTGCCCTCTGCCACTGTACCAAAGACCAGAAACTTTTACTGTAGAAATATTGAGAAATATTGAGGTAAAGTAGCCATTTTGGTCCAAAATACCTCCAAAATAGTCAAAACATGTCACTTTTGATCTACTGTAACTTTTTACTGTAAAAAGGTGTGCGACTAATTTCACTGGATTCATGACCTCAAGATTGTCCTCTACCACTGTACCAAAGACCAGACACTTTTACTGTAGAAATATTGATTTAAAGTAGCCATTTTGGTCCAAAATAGCCTAAAAATGGTCAAAACATGTCACATTTGATCTACTGTAACTTTTCACTGTAAAAAGGTGTGCAACTGATTTCACTGGATTCATGACCTCAACATTGCCTTCTACCACTGTACCAAAGACCAGACACTTTTACTGTAGAAATATTGAGAAATATTGAGGTAAAGTAGCCATTTTGGTCCAAAATACCTCCAAAATAGTCAAAACATGTCACTTTTGATCTACTGTAACTTATTACTGTAAAAAGGTGTGCGACTAATTTCACTGGATTCATGACCTCAAGATTGTCCTCTACCACTGTACCACTGTACCCCCCCCCCCCCCCCCCCCCCCCCCCCCGCCGACGACCACCACACATTGCCTTCAAACCTGTGGGAAACACTGGGTGAGGTCTTATTTACGTATACATGGCTGCATCCCCTTACTCAACTTTTTCGAATGCAAATTCAGCTACTCAAAGGTAATATGTCAAGCAAGCAAGGGTGACAAAGTATTGTATTTTGGAGCAGCTTCCACATACTTTGTAAAAAATATGTTTTGTATCTAAATGTGCTGACACTAAATCACATGGGTAGGTGTGTTGTGTTATGACCACCATCAGCACACCTGAACATGTACGAGCAGAGTTTGTTGTTGTATCGTTAGTCAAGATCATAAGAGGTTATTTGGAAAAATCAAAACAAGTCTCCATAATAAATGAGGACACATGTCACTGCAAGATGAGCTAAAAACTCAGTTATAGCAGGGGGACCTTTTTTCATTAACCATTTGGTTTCTTCCAGCAGAAAGAGTCTTGTAGTAAAACTCACAGGTTGTGAACACATTAGAAGCCAAGATGCTGTTTTTATCTTATTAGAAAACATGCTATATTTTGTATACCCGTGAGCTGATTGGCGTGAGGATGGCACAGACACTGGTATTTAGATGGAAAAGATCAACATGAAGGGCTATTGCTTTTTATGGCACTTGATTGATTTCTGAGGTTGTGTGAGAAGCAGCGACGAGGAACAGAAGAGCGGGTGACGTCCTGACAGGAGAGAGGCCAGTACCTAATGAATACTTGAGCACACTGCTAAATGATGCAATGTTGCCAATGACTCTAGGCTTGATGATCAAATATTGGCATATATTTTCTGTTAAATAAATACAAAAAATATAACACACATCTCAAATAAAGGTGGGGGCTGTCTCTCTAGCCTCTCTCGCACATTTAAGTCGGTTTTCTACTCATGACATTACATGGACTATGTTTATCAACCCCACCAGGCTATCAAGAGTCCCAGGGTAAACTCTTTATTCTCACAACTTTATACGAAAATAAACGACACGCAGTTGGAGCCTCTGTTCTCTAAAGAGTCCCACCAAGCAGCCCCCGGTCGACGCTGTGATCAGTCCATACAAGCAGCTGACTCTCTGCGCGCCTGACCTCAGCCATGGGTCCGATTACCAAGAGTTTGGGGGCGGCCTCTTACAGCCACATCCCCCGTGAGGTCACCCCTGGAGAGAGTTTGGAGAGGCGTTCACGTGCATTATCTACATACAGTACAGTCCAACAGAAAAGGAGTGTTTGCTTTAGTGTGTTTTTTAATATAATACAGCATGGTTTTTTAACACTTTTATATATATATTTTTTCCACTTTCCACTTTTAAGAAATTACGATTGAGCTTGTTTCTCACGTTATATTGAATTGTTTGGGATCATTTGACGCCGGTTGCATTCAAACACGTGGATTAACTTGATATAACAAAGAGATTCATGTAACAACGGTTTCGTGAATACGTTTATGTTTTTGCAACGCTGTTTTTTTTTTTAAAGAATGGAATATCATTGATTAATAATAGTAATAATAGGCATTCATGCTCGTAAGAACATTGAATACACCGTGTAGCCAAACATAAAAACGTGACCAGGCTCCTTTACTTGTTTTTAAAAATACCAACTTTTACATTTATCACTTCATACATACATATAATTGTGAATAAATGAATGAATGAATAGACCAATATTGTATTTATTAAAGGTACTATTTAGTCTGTCCCAGTGTTAGTAAACTGTAGTTACGCAGCCCGCCCTTTTGTATCACAATCTCACGTTGGTGTTTGATAAACACCTACGCCGTTTACGGTAATGTGTTGCGTTGGTTGGACGTTTTATTCACAATTGTTCATGTAATTCAAATTCTAATATATGTTTCCATAGAAAAAGAAACGACGTTAATCTTTTCCTCATGCCACGTGTGTTACTACAAGCCGGTTTTTCAAGCCACCGCCTCCGCAAAAGCCAGGTAATACTCACATTAATCTAATTCAGAGTTATAAATTATAACACATGAACAAAGTAAAGGCGACTTACTTGTGTTGGAGATTCACAAACAAAGGGTGTGAGGAGGTATCTGTTGAACAAGACTATTTTTCTTGTTTTGTTGAAATTGTTTGATACATTAACATGTATTGATGCTTTCTCACTGCTGATTGGTACTTAAGAAATGAAAGTGGATAAGGTATTTTCCTCACTACTACTAGTTGTTTCCTGAAGCTGTGGCTGTGTCTCCTGCTAGTTTTCGCTCAGCTTTCTTTACTAACTCCCCCTACTTTTCCTAATTTGACTTTTAATGCCCTCCCTCTTGTTTCAGGGGAGGAGAGTTTTAAGTCACTATGCTGCCACTCACAACTCCACACGACGTCCCTTACTTTTCATTTCATACCTTTTGCGGTAGAAATGTCTCAAAACTTGGAAAATTGATTCGATATGAATGAATAACGTCAAGCCAGGTTTAGCTTGTTTAACCATGGCTAACAGGACAAACAGAGTTCAAGGCAAGATTAAAAGCACATGATGTTGTGGGAAATCCGAAGCAAATGACTCCAGTGAACGCGACATTGTTGCTCACAGACTGGCACAACTCACTAAAACTCAATAACTGTTATCAATAATGGTCCAGTCCTCTAATAATAATCATATTAAATGATTTGACCCCAACAAACACAATCATTTCATTATGTTTTAGGAAGAAAGAAGGGTATAATGATAATTTCATATAAAAAAAAAAAAAACAGGCCACACAAAGCATTAAAAACTATTAGACTTCTCTCTGAAAAACAATAGCTTTGTTACTAAGCTCAGCTACTCCTCTGTTCTCGTTGTCGTGACCAACAAAACATGGCAACGCCTTTCACTGGGGACGACACAACTAAATTATTTGTATTATGATACACAGGGGGCTTGTTATAGATTGATAGATAGATAGAAAGAAACATGATTGATCTTTTGCAAGAAAATACTCAACATATTTTATATTATAAGTAACATCACAAATACTTTACTCTTTATTTGATGAATTTACTATCCCAAAATGCACTTAACTCGCATACTAGTGTCTCTTTTTCAACATCAACGGTGCCATTAACCAGATACTGTAGTTACTGCCACCAGTCTGTACTGGATGAGGGACCTTACTCCTACTTTCACGTGAGACTGACTGCGCAAATTAATCCAGTTCAGATTAATCTTATTTAAGTATAACCCCCTGTGTTTACTCCACAAAAGAAAATCCGCATCCCGCCAGGTCCATATGGGGGGAGGACTTGAGTTTTCCATCTCAATTTGCCAGGTCATCCCTGGCCCAAAGTTAAGTTCAACCAACAATATGTAGTTTTTACCCTTACCCAAACTTTGTTAACGTTCTATAAATACAATCCACACACAATAAAAGTATTTTAACTCAAATAGTTAAACATTATGACGATGAAACTGAAACATTTTATTTATATGTTTAACCTGGGAGTACAGATTAAATCATTAACTGTCCCTTTATGCCAGAGTACGTAACAGAAAGGTGCCAGATGATTTCTCTGCACCTTAGTTCTTTTAACAGAATAATCCTGCTGGAATTCATCTCCAGCTGTGGACACCTATAATAAGACTCACCTTTGACCACTGCAGTACGAAGTCAAGACCATTTACTGTAAACTGTGGTCAAATCAACACCATGTCCAAGTTTAATGTCCTGAAGTGCTTGTAATCACTTTTGAATATGACAGAAGAATGCAGCACCTGAATGGCCATTCTTTGTACCAAGTACACAATTATGTATTTAGTAATGAAGTTTAATTTGGACTTATATCAGTTATGTTATATTTTTAACAATAGGGATGTCCCATACCAATTTTCTAAAACCAATACAAGTACATGTACTTGATTTTCAGTACTTGATAGGCTGATAGGCCTACTGACCAGCATTTATATGTTTTATACTGAGCTTGTACTCATTTGGTAAAATGAATTAATTGCATAATCTTAACCACACTAGCATGCTAACTGTGTTTGTGAAAGAAAAGTATAAATGATATATTCCGGTATCTGGATCTGAGCATCCCTATTTAAAACTCTACCCACATTTGCTGTTGCTTATTGTTTCAACTTCAGCCATGAAAAAGAGAACCATCTTCGGAGCACATTTGGTAATCAATAACTTGGTTTGGATGTCTTTTATTATAGGAACTGAAAAAGTGTTCTTTAGTCACATTAAGAGTCAACATTAGTCAACATTAAGAGATCCTTTATTCAATCCTTTATTCATCCCAGTTGTAGTAATTTATTTTCTTCGGCCAATATGTACTCCAGATCTCAGGTCGCATGTTTTCAGAGATCACATAACATTTTTCAACAAGAAAAAAGAAAGAACCAAAATGTGTCCATTGAACCTTAGTGTGAAACAATGCCTGACCGAAAGGGGTTTAGGCTGAAGTCGAGACTATACTGCCTAACCCCTATTACAACGTGACAATACGTCCAAAGATGCCAAATTATGCAGTTTCTCATATACCAACAATGGTAACATGTAGCACAAAACTTAAACTTCCATAATTATTATTAAGCATAATCCAATTCATTTGTTCTATTCTTCTCCATTATATTTGACTTATAGTTAAAAAAAAAATGTAATAGTTCTAGAGCCTGTGTAAACATCAACAAGATCATACAATTTTAGGATATTATTTTGTGGATTTGTTGGAGCGAGGTATTCTGCATGACTGATCACTCTAATTGCTTTATTTTGTAAGATAAAGGTTTTATATTAGTTTTGTAGGTATCCCCCCATATTTCCACAAAGTTTGTGTTTGAGTAAACAAAACATCTCATAATGATTAATACAATGCAATTAAAAAAAACAACTAGTATTATATATCATCATTATCATAATTATGATATCATATACTTATTTGTGAAAATGTTCTTCTGTATCGTCCCATATCCTTTTTATGCTTTCTTTTCTTTCCAACAACAACCCAATCAGAAGAGGCAAGTTCCTTAAAAAGTTTAAAGTTGACAATATTCATAACAACAGTTACTGATAGTTCATTCTCTTGCAGCTGAAGTGTCTCCAGTATGTATGAGTCTTGTGGGCACTTAGTTTTTATTGTTAATTCATGGTTTACATGAATTCATGAGATGTGTTCACTTCATTGTGTTGAACATTCCCTTTCTCCTCTTATAATTAAGAAGAGTTTTGCCTTATTTTATTGCAGTTCGCAGTTTTTTGGACATCTTTCTATGACTTTATGTGTCATAGTTTAAGGCGCAAAGTGGCCTTTCTTCTCCTGATTGGGATGTTTCGCTGGCAGAGTGAAGGCAGATGTGACCATGGGTCTATCCTATCTACCAGCTCCACAGATAAGGCAGCTTCTACCACCTTGTGGCTGAAATGTGATAGTTTACTTGCTCTGACGAAAGTAGTGCTTATCATCAAATCCCATTGTGTCAGAAATTGCACACCTTTTCTTGCTTTTCTTTTCTTTATGAAATATTCATGTTGCACTGCAGACATGAGTGACAACTGTGACAAAACAGGGAACCCAGGCGCAATTTATTTTGCCCTTCTCCTCTCGCCTCCCCTCCCTCCCATGGGTCCACCCTTCCCAACATAGATATAGATACACACTTCCACACATTCTCAAAACCCCCATAACACAAACATAGTATATACCATTCACTTTAATATAAAGCTAAATCCCTCCACACCCATTGTCTAGGTATCAGTGATATTTCATTACATACAATTGTATACACACAGGACTATGGCACACTTCCTGTAAAAATAAATATAGAAAAAGATTAATACTGTTTTACATACATCTATATCTTTTCTTACGCATTCCTGATATCGTACATTATCAACTTTTAATCTATCTTTTTTAAGAGCACGCAAACCCTGTTATCCTTGCGTATAGTGTTGTGGCAATGCCCCCCTCGGCAAGTCTGATCACAATCTGATTCTTCTAAAGCCCATAGGCTAATAGGCACTTCTGTAACAATGTAGCAGTGCCAAAGAAAACAATCCGCTGTTTTCCAAATAACAAACCTTGGCTCACAAGTGACAACAAAAACATTTTGAACCTAAAGAAACAGGCTTTTAAGGCAGGAGACAGGGAACAGGTGATCCTCCTACAGGGATCAATAAAGTATCTATCTATCTATCCATCTTGAAGTTGTTTTCCGTGGGGTTTGGTGGGAAAATAGATTTCTTAAAACTTCATTGTAAAGTTTATTTTGAAGCACCACTCTTTTATGTCGTTGAGAAATAGAATGTCATCATGCCTATGCTCATGGTGATTATAACACATTTCTGTCAAAAATAGAATCACGGAATGAAGTTCCACACTTCCAGGTCCAGTGTAAAGTTAGTTGCAAACGAAAGGACTGTCTGCTCAACTACAACCTGTGTGGTTATAAGTTTCATTCCAACCACTCAGGCCTCTCGTTTATTTTAAGAGTTATTGACTGAGCTGCTAAAAAGATGGTTGCCATTGAGTAATGAAATTCACCTGGCGCTTGGGAAGACATTAGTGATGGATATTTTTTATAGATGTACATTTTTGTTGTTGCTATTGTTTAGGTTCAGTGTGGAAATAATGCTATACTGCCACCTCCTGGACACACACACACACACTCACACAAGTTCAGGACAAAAAAAATGGCAAATTAAATATACATATCCGTAAGGCAAGGCAAGTTGTCACCTCAAATTGCTTAAAACAAGATGGAAACAATCATACAAGGAATTTTCATAAATAATCAAAGTACATTAAAAAGAGAAAATTCTTCTGTTGGTATGCACAGCTAAACAGAACTGTTTTTAATCTGGGTTTGAACATTGTCAACGCACTTCCTGGTTCTAGTTGGGACTGAGGCTGCAGCGGTTGAATTCACTGCAGCTGTTATACAGCGCTGTACAACTCGAAATATACAGACATTGGAGTTTAGTGGTGATCAGATCAATGGTTTCTCTGGACCATGGATGTGTTGACAGCTCCAAATAAATAACGTCTGTATAAGCCATAACCCACCGTCGGCAAGACCACAAGTTAGGGGGTTTCCACCTTGTATCAACCATGTAGTGCAATTCCAAGTGAATCCTTCGCCATGTCCTTTAAAATCCCAATCTGAAAAAAGTCATTCAGAAGAAGGACCAGGGGAGGCCAGGGAACTAGGCATGACAGGAGGACAAACAGATACAAGCCGTCTACCATAATCATGCAAATATTAAAACTATTTGCCTAATTAATGGTGCACCAACCACCTTAGCCTTAGCATCTATAGGCCGCTCAAACATATGTCTATTCTGTGCGTGTGAATAATTTCAAAACAGGACTAGGGGATTAATGTAAAAATCAAATGATTCTTTGTCTAACCGCCTCCAAAGAGTGATTCTTGGTTCTAATATTTGAGAAGAGGCTGTGCTTTTTTCTGTTCTTAGCAATGTCTTTCAAATTCATAAAAAACAGACTTAGAGACTACTTCAGGCTGGTATCTATTCTGGCAGTTTTCAAATCAAGGTTAAAAACTGTTCTGTTTAGCTGTGCATACAGCTGAAGAATTTT